CCAGCATTTGAAAGGTAAACAAAATGATATCAGGTATTAGACTGATAGGATCTCCATGGGAACAGATTCGGTTTCTTAAGTTAGCCCCTTGAGTTGTTCAATGTGAGAGCAACTTTGAAGTTTCTTTTAAAAAAAAATTATACATAACCATAATCACCATACTATTTTCCTTTTTCATTCCCTTCTCCCTCCCCACACCCACCCCTTTCCCATGTTGACAACTAAGGGCAGATCTAGACAGCCGCTTTATTGTGGAAACTTCTGCAATAAAAAGGGGGCTGTCCAGACAATGTTCTGGGCAACCTGCAATTAATTCTCTACAAACCAGGAAAACCCTGGTTTGTGGCAGATTAGTTTGATAGTGGGTTTATTCCATGCCTTTTTGGAATGCTGCAGTCTAGACAGTATTCCCACAGTTTTCCGGGCTAAATTAGCCCAAAAAAACTGTTGGAATACCAACCCCTTCCCCCAAAGCCAAACTGAGTAAAAAAGGAAAAGAACTCATCCGGCCTCCTTAGGAGGGCTGCTGGAGCTCTCCTGGCGCATACAAATGTAGTGCCAGGAGACCGGGGGGGGGGGGGGGGGGGGAGGAAAATCGCTCCTGCTGCCCCCTTTCTCCTGCCGCGTCATTTGTACATGCCAGGAGAACTCCGGCATGGAGGTTGAGTGAGTTCTTTTCCTTCTTTACTCAGTTTAGGGGGGCTTTATGGGAGGCGGTTAAGTGTCCCAGTGTTGTACTGGGAAATCCCAGTACAACATCAGCACACCCACCCCAGAAAACGCATGCTTTTGGGGATGAGTGTACACGGCCCCCCAGGAACATCCGTGTTTCTTAAATGCAGATGCTCCTGGGATAACGGCCTGTCTGGAAAGGCCCTTTATCCTTTTGTTTCCCATTACATGAGTCTTCTTTCCATTCTATCCCATTTTTTTGCTTCCAGCTTTCATCATCTAGTTTAACAACCTGTAACCATTTGTTAAACGGAGTCCAAATTTCTTTAATTTTATTCTGTTTTTCTGACCATAGGGGGTTTTTTTGCTTCTTCTAATATTCATAATATCTAGTTGTATTTGGACCCACACATATTCATACAATTTTTCAAGTGTCCATTTATTTTTATCTTTCTACTTCAAACATATTACTATATGTGTTGCTCTAAATATCATTATTCATTCTTGATCTTGGTCCTTAATTCTTCTATCACCATATATCCCCTTTTATTTCAATATGTTTAGAATCTGATTCCAGAATTTTTATCTCTTCACTCTCCCACCATAGATGTGAATACCATGCTTCCCAACTCCCTCAATGCCAACATTTGGGATTTAATTCCAGAATCATATATGTCTGCTGAATTGGTGTTCTACACCATTTTGTTATTATTTTTAGTTCTCATTCCTTGCATTTTTCCATTTTTATTTTATTTAAACCACTGATTAGCTTTTCTAATTTCTTTTCCTACGCCCCCTTCCTTTTCCCACTTGTTTTCCATTATTTTATACATAGATTCCTTATCTTCTATCATTATTCCATATATTCCATTATTCCGATTGTTTCCATTCCATTAATTACTTATTTTCATTATATAAATCTTTAATTTTACTATATCTTTTAAGTTTCAATTTTTTATGATGCTCTTATCCTCATTTCTTAAACTACCTATTGGGTCTTCCTTTGATAAATATGACATCCGTTTCTCTTTCCATTTCCCCCATATTTTTAATGCTATTTTCTTTGGGCCTATTTTTTTCCTATTCACTCTTTTAAATTATTTGTAAAGATTCCATAGTCTCCTTGATCTTTATTTGGTTCATTCTCTGTTTTTATCCACTTCTCTTGCTTCTTCTCTACCAATCCCAAAATTGCTTTCAATTGAAATGCTTCATAGTATTTGTGTAACTTTGGTATTCCCCTTCCTATTTCTTTATTTGACATATATTGTTCCTTTTTTACTTATTATTTGACTTTTCCCCTCCAAATATCCACTTCCTTATTTCTCCATCCCAATTTTTGTGTGCGTGTGTGTGTAATCTCTAGTGGCAGAGGTTGAAACAGATACAATAATTTAGGAAGTATGCACATTTTAATTGATCTAATTCTCATCAAAATACTTAAATTCTTATCCTTCCAATTATTCATTTGTACCTGTATCCTTTCCCATGTTTTGTTATAGTTATAATCCCAGTACCTCATTGGCTTATTAGTTAAGTAAATTCCCAAATATTTAGTTTTATTTTTTACTAGCTTGGGGACCCGGTGAAGCCCGGGTTATTTGAAAAAGGCATTGTTTGTCTGTGTTGCAGTTTTAGTCTAGATCCAATGTCATCTGGGTTCAGTGGGTGCGGGTGAACTCCCATATGCAAGTCCTATCTTCCATTGTCAATCCTCCTCCAAACTGCACCAGGATGTGATGTGGGTCATGGGGGTTCTATGTGCCAAGCCTGGTTTTGATCAGCCATTGAATGTGGGTTGCAGTGGTCTCAGGAAATGAGTGAAGGTACTGCAAGTCCCATCATCCATGGTCTGCCCTCCTCCAAACTGCACCAGGATGTGGTCTGGGTCATGGGGGCTCTTTGTGCCAAGTTAAGTAAATTCCCAAATATTTAATTTTATTTTTTACTAGCTTGGGGACCCGGTGGAGCCCGGGTTATTTGAAAAAGGCATTGTTTGTCTGTGTTGCAGTTTTAGTCTAGATCCAATGTCATCTGGGTTCAGTGGGTGCGGGTGAACTACAACTCCCATCTTCCATTGTCCATCCTCCTCCAAACTGCACCAGGATGTGATGTGGGTCATGGGGGCTCTATGTGCCAAGCCTGGTTTTGATCAGCCATTGAATGTGGGTTGCAGTGGTCTCAGGAAATGAGTGAAGGTACTGCAAGTCCATCATCCATGGTCTGCCCTCCTCCAAACTGCACCAGGATGTGGTCTGGGTCACTGGGGCTCTTTGTGCCTAGTTTGGTGTTTATTGGTCATTGGATTAGGATCGTAGTAGTCTCAGGAAGCAAGTGAAGGTACTTCAAGTCCCATCATCCATGGTCCATCCTCCTTCAAACTGCACCAGGATGTAGAGTGGGCCTTGGGGGCTCTGTGTGCCAAAATCTGACTTCTTTGGGTCAATGTTAATAAAGTTTCAACCAGTTGATCGACTCCTGTTGACTGAACTATATTTGAACTAATTAGTTCTTTATTTTGGGAGAAAAGTCCTCACATAGGTTGCTGGGATGCAAGACAATCCCCACTTATATCTGTGAATTTGCAATTGTGTTTGCAACTATAACTGTATTTGTAATTGAAACCAAAGAAGAAAGAAAAACTTTGAAGACTTATCGCAGCTGCTTTTGTAACTATAATGATTTAGAAAATATGAATGTTGCAAACGTAAATACTGCAAAACAAAGTCTGTCTCATTTGATTGTAACTGTAAATAAATGTGTTTGTAGTACGTATATATCATCATCATCATCATCATCATTTAATAACTTATTAATCGCCCTCCATCCGAGAATGCTCCAGGCGATTTACAGCTAAATTATAAAAGATAAAATACATACATACAAAATTTAAAAATTAACAGAGATCGAATGTTCTAGTAAAAAGCCAGGTCTTAAGCGCGAAAGTAAAAGGCCCTAAAAATTCTTCTAACTACTTGGCAAACTTTGTATATCCCCCTACCTCCCAGGGGCCCCTCCCTCCTCTCTCTCCCTCAGCCAATCACCTCCCATATGCAAATGTCCCCTCACCTCACAATCCCCCCTTGCCAAACTTTGCATATCCTCCTCCCTCCCAGGGGCCCCTCCTTCCTCCCCCTCCTTTGGCCAATCACCTCCCATATGCAAATTTCCCCTCACCTCACAATCCCCCCTTGCCAAACTTTGCATATCCCCCCTCCTTCCCAGGGGCCCCTCCCTCTTCTGCCTCCCTTGGCCAATCACCTCCCATATGCAAATTTCCACTCACCTCACAATCCCCCCTTGCCAAACTTTGCATATCCCCCCTCCTTCCCAGGGGCCCCTCCCTCTTCTGCCTCCCTTGGCCAATCACCTCCCATATGCAAATTTCCACTCACCTCACAATCCCCCCTTGCCAAACTTTGCATATCCCCCCTCCTTCCCAGGGGCCCCTCCCTCTTCTGCCTCCCTTGGCCAATCACCTCCCATATGCAAATTTCCACTCACCTCACAATCCCCCCTTGCCAAACTTTGCATATCCCCCCTCCTTCCCAGGGGCCCCTCCCTCTTCTGCCTCCCTTGGCCAATCACCTCCCATATGCAAATTTCCACTCACCTCACAATCCCCCCTTGCCAAACTTTGCATATCCCCCCTCCTTCCCAGGGGCCCCTCCCTCTTCTGCCTCCCTTGGCCAATCACCTCCCATATGCAAATTTCCACTCACCTCACAATCCCCCCTTGCCAAACTTTGCATATCCCCCCTCCTTCCCAGGGGCCCCTCCTCTTCTGCCTCCCTTGGCCAATCACCTCCCATATGCAAATTTCCACTCACCTCACAATCCCCCCTTGCCAAACTTTGCATATCCCCCCTCCTTCCCAGGGGCCCCTCCCTCTTCTGCCTCCCTTGGCCAATCACCTCCCATATGCAAATTTCCCCTCACCTCACAATCCCCCCTTGCCAAATTTTGCATATCCCCCTCACTCACAGCCCCCCCTCTTCTCCCTCCCTTGGCCAATCACCTCCCATATGCAAATTTCCACTCACCTCACAATCCCCCCTTGCCAAATTTTGCATATCTCCCTCCCTCCCAGGGGCCCCTCCCTTTTCTGCCTCCCTTGGCCAATCACCTCCCATATGCAAATTTCCCCTCACCTCACAATCCCCCTGGCCAATCCCCACCTACATACGAATTCTCTCTACCCGCAAAGGGACTCCCTGAGAGTGGACTTGGGACCTAAAGGGAGAAGGCAGGCTGCTCCTCTCCTGGGGACCCTTTCCCTCTTGGGCCAGGTCTTCTCTTGGGGGGAGAGAGGGGGGCCCCTGGAGGGAATTGGGGGCCCAGGGCTTACCTTGGAGGAGCCACAGGAACATCCTCTGTGTTTTCGGGGCCCACGCGGCGATGTGGGTGCCTCGTCCTGACCTTCTGCGAAAGCAAAGGGAGGCCATGAAGAGGGCCCTTGGCGCCAGAACAGGGCTGTCCCCAAAGGGGCCCCAAGGGGAGCGGGAGGGGAGTGTGGCCCTTACCCTGAACCATGACGTGTGTGAGGCCGTCCTGAGGGGGGCGCGCGGAGGGTCCTGGGCTGGAGCGTCCTCTGTGGGGGGCGGCCCCTGCTGGAGCTGCCTGGAGAGCCCTCTGCCCATCTTGGCGTCCAGGAAGGCAATGGCAGGGCCAACTGACGTGAGGTCCCTTCAAACCCCTGGTCTCCATGGCAACCAGGTAAACAATTCCGACCTGGAACCTGGAACCTTTTCAAATGAAAACAACCACCAGCCTGGAGCAGGAAGGAAGGAAGGAAGGAAGGAAGGAAGGAAGGAAGGAAGGAAGGAAGGCAGGCAGGCAGGCAGGCAGGCAGAGGGAGGGAGGAAGGAAGGAGAGGAAGGAAGGAAGGAAGGAAGGAAGGAAGGAAGGAAGGAAGGAAGGAAGGAAGGAAGGAAGGAAGGAAGGAAGGGTGGCCCTGCATGTCTTCCCTTTTCCGCTCCTCCGCCTTGGAAGGCCGGACTCAGGGGCCACGGGGCCCTCTAACCTTCCTAATGCAGTGACCCCTTAATACAGTTCCTCATGTTGTGGCGACCCCCAAACATCACATTATTTTTTTTGCTACTTCATAACTGTAATTTGGCTACTGTTATGAAACGTAATGAAAATATCTGCTCTGCAGGATATCACTGGACCAAATTTGGCACAAATACCCGATACACCCAAAGTTGAATACTGGGGTTGATTTTGTCATTTGGGAGTTGCAGTTGCTGGGAATTATAGTATACCTACAATCAAAGAGCACCCTGAACTACAATAACGATGGAATTGAACCAAACTTGGCACACAGAACTCCCACGACCAAAAGAAAATAGTGGACGGGTTTGGTGGGCATTGACCCTGAGTTTTGGAGTTCACCTACATCCAAAGAACACTGTGGACTCAAACAATGATAGATCTGGACCAAACTTGACATTTGGGAGTTGTAGGGGGCTGTCCAGACAACGTTTTGGGTAGCAATTAATTCTCTACAAACCAGGAAAACCCTGGTTTGTGGCAAATTAGTTTTATAGTGGGTTTATTCTGTGCCTTCTTGGAATACTGCAGTCTAGACAGTATTCCCACGGTTTTCCGGGCTAAATTAGCCCAAAAAACTGTGGGAATACCAACCCCTTCCCCCAAAGCCAAACTGAGTAAAAAAAGGAAAAGAACTCACTCGGCCTCCATGGGACGGCTGCCTGAGATCTCCTGGCGCATACAAATGTAGCGCCAGGAGAAAGGGGGGGGGAATCGCTCCTGTCCCCCCTTCTCCTGTCACGTCATTTGTACATATTTATTTATTTATTTACCTTACTTATATACCGCTGTTCTCAGCCCGAAGGCGACTCACAGCGGTTCACAACAAATACGAACAGCAAAAATTCAGTGCTACAGTATAAAAACAGTTAACAACCTAACACATTACACAATTAATAAACAGTTACTACAATACCCATTCACTGTCGTCTCGTCATCAAAAACATGTTCCAGATTCGTCATCCATTGTTCCATTCCAGTGTTCATTAACCAATCATTGCACTAATTATTCGAACGCCTGCTCAAACAGCCAGGTCTTCACTTTTTTGCGGAATACCAATGCCAGGAGAACTCCGGCATGGAGGTTGAGTGAGTTCTTTTCCTTCTTTACTCAGTTTAGGGAGGCTTTATGGGAGGCGGTTAAGTGTCCCAGTGTTGTACTGGGAAGTCCCAGTACAACATCAGCACACCCACCCCAGAAAGCGCATGCTTTTTGGGGTGAGTGTACATGGGCCCCCAGGAACATCCGTGTTTCTTAAATGCAGATGCTCTTGGGATAACGGCCTGTCTGGAAAGGCCCTTCTTCCTTTTGTTTCCCGTTACATGAGTCTTCCTTCCATTCTATCCAATTTTTTTCTTCCAGCTTTCATCATTTGGTTTAACAACCTGTAACTATTTGTTAAATGGAGTCCACGTTTCTTTAATTTTCTTCTGTTTGTCTGACCATGTTTTTTTTTTGCTGCTTCTAATATTCATAATATCCAGTTGTATTTGTACCCACACATCTTCATACCATTTTTCAAGTGTCCATTTATTTTTATCTTTCTACTTCAAACATATTACTATGTGTGTTGCTCTAAATATCATTATTAATTCTTGATCTTGGTCCTTAATTCTTCTATCACCATATATCCTTTTAACAAAATTTGCATATTTATATCAAATTTTATTTCAATTAGTAATTCAATCTGGTTTAGAATTTGATTCCAGAATTTTTATCTCTTCACACTCCCACCATAGATGTGAATACCATGCCTCCCAAGGAACAAAATTACCCCTCCTCCACCCTAGTTTTTACTGCTGAGACAAAAGAAAAGCTTGGGGCCACCCGAAATAGACTGTTATGCTGAACGACTGTGTTCATTCCAATCAAGGCCCTCAAAGCAAATTCCTGCACTCAACATTCTTTAACTCTCACTGTATATACTTTTGTGACAAGCTCCAGCTGGTGTTTCTTAGAGCTAAAATAAGCAAGCAAAGAAAGTACACCCTGCAACCCTGAAGGCTAATTTTGCTAGTTATAGTTAGTATTCTCAATGCACTATAAGGGACCATCCAATTTCAAGGACTAAGAAGGGCAAAGGATCCAAAGGGTTAGATTTCTCATTTTGATCTGAAAAAATGAACAACCAGTCTCAAAATTTCCTTACATAAACGTATGGGGCAGCCATATACAGCATTTAGGATGTTGTGTACAATCTCCTGTCCACTTATCTGAAAAGAACTAGGTGGACAGACTAATCTGATCTCTTTTTTCAATAGAGTTACAAGCTGGATAGATGCGGGGAATGCCGTGGATTTCAGTAAGGCCTTCGACAAGGTCTCCCATGACCTTCTGGCAAACAAACTAGTCAATGTGGGCTAGGCAAAACTACGGTGAGGTGGATCTGTAATTGGTTAAATGGACGAACCCAGAGGGTGATTCTCCCCAATGCTTCCTCTTCATCCTGGAAAGAAGTGACAAGTGGAGTGCCACAAGCAGGGTCCCGTCCTGGGCCCGGTCCTGTTCAACATCTTTATTAATGACTTAGATGAAGGGCTAGAAGGCAGGATCATCAAGTTTGCAGACGACACCAAATTGGGAGGGATAGCCAATACTCCAGAGGACAGGAGCAGGATTCAAAACGATCTTGACAGATTAGAGAGATGAATGGCTAAAACTAACAAAATGAAGTTCAACAGTGACAAATGCAAGATACTCCACTTTGGCAGGAAAAACGAAATGCAAAGATACAGAATGGGGGACGCCTGGCTCGAGAAGCAGTACGTATGAAAAAGATCTTGGAGTCCTCGTGGACAACAAGTTAAACATGAGCCAACAATGTGATGTGGTGGCAAAAAAAGCCAAAGGTATTTTGGCCTGCATCAATAGGAGCATAGTGTCTAGATCTAGGGAAGTAATGCTACCCCTCTATTCTGCTTTGGTTAGACCACACCTGGAATATTGTGTCCAATTCTGGGCACCACAATTGAAGAGAGATATTGACAAGCTGGAATGTATCCAGAGGAGGGCAACTAAAATGATCAAGGGTCTGGAGAACAAGTCCTATGAGGAGCAGCTTAAGGAGCTGGGCATGTTTAGCCTGAAGAAGAGAAGGCTGAGAGGAGATATGATAGCCATGTATAAATATGTGAGAGGAAGCCACAGGGAGGAGGGAGCAAGCTTGTTTTCTGCTTCCTGGAGACTAGGACGCGGAACAATGGCTTCAAACTACAAGAAAGGAGATTCCATCTGAACATGAGGAAGAACTTCCTGACTGTGAGAGCCGTTCAGCAGTGGAACTCTCTGCCTCGGAGTGTGGTGGAGGCTCCTTCTTTGGAAGCTTTTAAACAGAGGCTGGATGGCCATCTGTCAGGGGTGATTTGAATGCAATATTCCTGCTTCTTGGCAGGGGTTGGACTGGATGGCCCAGGAGGTCTCTTCCAACTCTTTGATTCTATGATTCTGTGACAGGCGAGTGTATGCATCAACCCTCCATATTCACTGCCGTTAAGAGCACAGGACCTCAGTAAAAAGAATTCATGGATAAAGCCCCCCCCTTTTTTTTTTACATAAGAGAAACCTCTCTAAAGCCCCATCTATACTGTCATATGATCCAGTTTCTTAATACAGATCTGCTTTAAACTGGATTATATGGCAGTGTAGACTCATATAATCCAGTTTAATGCAGATAATCTGCATTCAGAAACTGGATTATATGGTCAGTGTAGATGGGGCCTAGTTCCTCCAGCATGATTCTCTAATCAATGTTTGCCAGAGGAAAAACTATGGTTTTGCGAGATAAAAGGTGCTTTCTTCCTCACATTCACCAGGCAGCAGTTCTTTCTTTCTCTCCAAACTGCTGTAAGAGTTTAGGGGCCTTGCAGAGGAAATCCACATATGGAACTGTTTAATTTACAGCCTCAATGCTATTCATTCCTTCAGAATCAATATAGAAGGATATCAATTACAATGTCATTATCTTAAATTAAAATCTATTCAATTAACAATATTAGAATTCCTTGAAAATGTTCTTATAAAAACCATAGAATCAGAGAGCTATAAAAGATAAAAAATATGAAAAGTGGAGGCTGGTGAAAGATGCATTTCTGTTTACTTATACAAGGCTTACCTCATCCGCGTGTTTCATAACATATGCATATTAAAGCTTTCTGAAACGATCCCCCCAGAGGTCCGGACCCCAGGTTGAGAAACACTGTTCAGCGCTTTATAGGTAACAACCAACACTTTGTATTGCAACCCGCCTTCAGCCATGAGGACAGGCGGGTAAGAAATAAAATTATCCAGTTCAAAGCAGGTAATCTGGATTATCTGATTTGATGGATTATATGGTTTTGTTGTCAAGCAATTCAGAATGGCTGTGGATAGTGAGATCCAAACCATTGTGGGTTTAGCCTGGTGAGAAAAAGAAGCTAGTATTCCAGAATAAATCTCACCAAGTTGAAGAGAAGCCACCAAAGTTTATTTTCTATTCCAGCTGGAAAGGATGATGACTGCAGTAATCTGCCAAACAAGCCGACATGTTTGCTAGGCAGGTAAATACAGAATATATAGCTTTCAGTTTCAAAAGTTCCCATGTCCATCCCCTTGAGCTGGCTTTGTTGTGATTGGCTTTGACATCAGCAAGCCAGCAGGGGATCCAATGAGAGCCTTAACCCTGCTTTGGCCACTCAGCCAATGAAGTGGAAGGAGGTGGGCAACAGGGAAACAATGAATGAAATGAATGAATGATAGGATTACGAATGACTGGGGTTTGCCAAGTGACCAAGCAATAGCTTTAGGCTCTCCAGCCTGGTCAGGGTTATTGTCCTGATCTTTTGAAACATTTTTGACTGGTCCCAAAAGACCAGGTCCATTGTCCTACTGTCCTGCGATATTGATTCCATTGATGAAGTTGAGATTGGTTTCGGAGATGGGAAATGACACAGCGGGGGAGAGACAACGACAATCCCCTGTTCCTTGCAGATGGGGAGATCTGAGTGATTCAGTATGTCCAGGGACTCCATGGTCCTGGATGGCCTGGCCATCAGGACCCTCCGAGATCCAGAAAAAAAGGAGCCATTTACTTATTGTCCATGCAAACGGGTTTTGGTCAAGTCCTTTCTTAGGGAATTATTAGCCCCAAGTTTGGAGATTCCTTGAGCCATGAGTTGCTGGCATAGTTCATGAAAAGGTCACTTTGCTTCATAATTTCTTATACAGACATACATACATATAATGAATGGGGCATGGGGCATACACAGAGTTCATAGGGAAAGGGGAAGGCATGCAGGGTCAAACATTAACAGTGAATTAAAATACATATAGAGTAAAATACATATAAGCCAATTTGCCAAGATAAAATCATGTCCAATTCAGTCTGCATCTTGTGGTCCATACCTTTGGTCAATTGCTGGTCTCAGCCATCATTCTGGGAATGCCTCATTCCATAGCCATGATTTTACTAGCTTCCTGAATGTCAGGAGGGAGGGGGCAGATCTAATTTCATTTGGGAGAAAATTCCATAGCCAGGGGGCACTACAGAGAAGGCCCTGTCTCTCGTTCCCACCAGACGCGACTGCGAAAGTGGTGGGACTGAGAGCAGGGCCCCTCCAGAAGATCTTAACAGCCTTGATGGTTCATAGGGAAGAATATGTTCGGACAGGTAAACTGGGCCAGAACTGTATAGGGTTTTGTAGGTTAAAATCAGCACCAGCACTCGGAAGCTAATTGGCAGCCAGTGGAGCTGGCGCAATAAGGGAGTTGTGTGCTCGCTGTACCCCGCACCTGTCAGTAGCCTGGCTTCCGAACGTTGGACTAGTTCAGTGCTTCTCGACCTTGGGTCCCCAGATGTTTTTGGCCTACAACTCCCAGAAATCCCAGCCAGTTTACCAGCTGTTAGGATTTCTGGGAATTGTAAGCCAAAAACATCTGGGGACCCCAGGTTGAGAACCACTGGACTAGTTGCAGCTTCTGGGCAGTCTTCAGAGGCAACCCCATGTAGAGAGCATCGCAGTAGTCTATACGGGATGTAACCAGAGCATGGACCACTGTGGCCAAGTCAGACTTCCCAAGTTATGGGCGCAGCTGGCGCACAAGCTTTAACTGTGCAAAAGCTCCCCTGGTCAGTGTATCACTGACCTGGTCAGTGTATCACAATGTATCATTACGGAGAGCAAGAAAGATAGTGTTCTTTTTTTCTTTTTCTTTTGTCGTGTCAGGAGCGACTTGAGAAACTGCAAGTCGTTTCTGGTGTGAGAAAATTGGCCGTCTGCAAGGACGTTGCCCAGGGGATGCGAGGATGTTTTGATCTTTTACCATCCTTGTGGGAGGCTTCTTTCATGTCCCCGCATGAGGAGCTGGAGCTGACAAAGGGAGCTCATCAGCACTCTCCCCGGATTCGAACCTGCGACCTGTGGGTCTTCAGTCCTGCCGGCACAGCGGTTTAACCCTCTGCACCACCAGGGGCTCCTGTTGTGGCTGGCCAATCAGAAAGCATATGCAAATTTCCTTTCCCCTCTAAGCCACTTGAGAATGTTGGAATGTTGTGGCTGGCCAATCAAAGACCTACGGCTCCGGCCCAGCATACCTGTCTGAATGCATCTCCTTCTATGTCCCACCTCGGAGTTTAAGATCTTCGGGGGAGGCCCTGCTCTCGGCCCCGCCTCTATCACAAGTGAGGCTGGTGGGGACGAGGGACAGGGCCTTCTCGGTGGTGGCCCCTCGCCTGTGGAATTCACTCCCCGGGGAAATTAGGTCATCAACTTCCCCCCTCCCCTTCAGAAGGAAGCTGAAAACATGGATATGGGACCAGGCTTTTGTGTAATCTGGCAGACTGACAAGGTAATGACGACCAGAAATTGGAATGGACTATGGTAATGCTGAATGGACTTATGGATATCAGAACTCGGTGAACATTGGCCACTGGCTTTTAATTGTTATTGTTTTAATTGATTGTTTTTAACTATTGTGTAATTATAATTACTGTTATGTAATTTATCTGTTGAATTGTTGGCATCGAATTGTGCCTTGGGGATTGAGAAGGGTGGGGTAGAAGCGCCCAAAATAAATAAATAAATAATGCAAATTGTACCACAGTGGCAGCCAAACAGAAAGCTGCCACATACACCTACGTCCACCACACAGAAAGATAGTTAATAGATACTTTTATTGGGGGACTGGTTACATTGTTAGGATAGGGGAGAAGAAAGAAAACAGAAAAATGACTTCTTAGTTGAGGCTGCTGTTGTGGCTAGAGTCCCATCGATGCTGCCCCAACTGGACATTTGGGAACTGTGGAACTCCCTGCTGCAGGTTAGATCAATTTGAAGGCAGGGGCCTGTGTGTTGCCCGGTATCAACTGGATTTTGAAAAATCTCAAAATTCCACATAAAGTTGTCATGGCAACTAAAGTGGCATAACTGCGATATAATATTGTGGTGTGGTAAATGCTACGAAGGCTTCTGCTACTAGATCTGTAACCTGCTTCCTCTTCATCCTGGAAAGAAGTGACGAGTGGAGTGCCACAAGCAGGGTTCTGTCCTGTCCCGGTCTTGTTCAACATCTTTATTAATGACTTAGATGAAGGGCTAGAAGGCATGATCAAGTTTGCAGACGACACCAAATTGGGAGGAGAGCCAATACTCCAAAGGACAGGAGCAGGATTCAAAACGATCTTGACAGATTAGAGAGATGGGCCAAAACTAACAAAATGAAGTTCAACAGTGACAAATGCAAGATACTCCACTTAGGCAGAAAAAACAAAATGCAAAGATACAAAATGGGGGACAATGCCTGGCTCGAGAGCAGTACGTGTGAAAAAGATCTTGGAGTCCTCGTGGACAACAAGTTAAACATGAGCCAACAATGCTGGTTGCTTCTGTGGCGAGAGAATCAGCCGTCTACGAAGACGTTGCCCAGGGGATGCCCGGATGTCTTGCAATCGTGCAAGGAGGCTTCTCTCATGCCCCCATCTCCAGCTCATCCCCGTTTGGGTATCAGTCAGCACGACAACGACTTAAATCTAGAAATAGTTTTCTAAGATCTACAGAGACACTCGCTGGAACACCTCAGCAAGCGAGAGTCCAAAAGTGGCAGGCTCAAACCCAGAACCTCAACCAATGGCTGATACCAAATGAGAGACTCCCCCCTGGGCACACAGAGGACTGGGCAACTTGGAAGGCGCTGAACAGACTGTGCTCTGGCACCACGAGATGCAGAGCCAACCTTCAGAAATGGGGCTACAAAGTGGAATCCTCGACATGTGAGTGTGGAGAAGAGCAAACCACTGACCACCTGCTGCAATGCAACCTGAGCCCTGCCACATGCACAATGGAGGACCTTCTTGCAGCAACACCAGAAGCACTCCAAGTGGCCAGATACTGGTCAAAGGACATTTAACCAAATACCAAATTTGCAAAATCTGTGTGTTTTCTTCTCCTTTTTCTTTTTAATCTGTGTGTTTGTTTTGCTCTGTTAGAATTGTAATACAATGGTTGCTGATGACACGATAAAGAAATAAGCTCCCAGGATTTCAGGGCACTCAAAGCGGTGCCGAAGTGCATCCGTTATACAGTGCAGGTGCAGCCTTGCACCCTTCGTGCCCGCCTCTCCTCTCGAGGCTTCCAAAAGGCGAACCCGGAAGTGTGACTCGAGCTCCTGCCCCCATCTCTGTAGGTGCGAGCCTCAGAAGCGCTGGCTACGGGTCGCGATTGGGGAAAAGCCTTCTCTGCTCGCGTTTGCCGGAGCGACTTGCTTTTGTCGCGAGACCAATCTCCCGTCTCGTTTCCTCCTGCGCGCGCCGTGTTGCCTTCTGGGGGGGAAACGGAAAGAGGGGCCGGCGTTGCTAGGTAACTGGGAAGGAAGGAAGGTGGGAAGGAGCGGTGGCGTCGCCCCTCATAGCCCTTTCTTTTGGGGTGAGAAAGGACTCCCCCCCCCCCGAGAAGAAGAGAAGGAGGAGGGAGCCGCCCCTCCCCCATATCCCCTCCCTCCATTAATAGGAATGTTTCCTACCCCAATGGACATTCCCCTTCATTCCCCAAACTCCTAGCGTTGCTGTAATGTAGACCTGCCGTTGAGCGTTTAGAAATGTGAGTCTCCCATATCCGAAGTGTTTGGGATTTTGGAACATATAATGAGAGATCTTGAGGTGGGTCTACACCAGGCATGGGCAAACTTGGGCCCTCCAGGTGTTTTGGACTTCAACACCCACAATTCCTAACAGCCTCAGGTCCTTTCCTTTCCCCAATTAGCCACTTAAGGGCCCAAGTTTGCCCAAGCCTAGTCTGCACTGTAGAACAAAGCTAGTCTGAACTGCTATGGCTCCATTCAGTGGGCTCCTGGGATCTGTAGTTTGCTGAGGAGAGATATTGACAAGCTGGAACGTGTCCAGAGGAGAGTGATCAAAATGATCAAGGGTCTGGAGAACAAACTCAGGGTGAGATAAAGGAGCAGAATTATTTGTAAAATGATCAAGGGTCTGGAGAACAAACCCTATGAGGAGCGGCTTAAAGAGCTGGGCATGTTTAGCCTGAAGAAGACAAGGCTGAGAGGAGACATGATTTGTTGTTGTTCATTCGTTCAGTCGTCTCCGACTCTTCGTGACCTCATGGACCAGCACACGCCAGAGCTCCCTGTCGGCCGTCACCACCCCCAGCTCCTTCAAGGTCAGTCCAGTCACTTCAAGGATCCATCCATCCATCTTGCCCTTGGTCGGCCCCTCTTCCTTTTACCTTCCACTTTCCCCAGCATAATTGTCTTCTCTAGGCTTTGCTGTCTCCTCATGATGTGGCCAAAGTACTTCAACTTTGTCTCTAGTATCCTTCCCTCCAATGACCAGTCGGGCTTTATTTCCTGGAGGATGGACTGGTTGGATCTTCTTGCAGTCCAAGGCACTCTCAGAACTTTCCTCCAACACCACAGTTCAAAAGCATCTCTCTTCCTTCGCTCAGCCTTCCCTAAGGTCCAGCTCTCACATCCGTAGGTTACTACAGGGGAATACCATTGCTTTGACTATGCAGATCTTTGTTGCCAGTGTGATGTCTCTACTCTTTACTATTTTATCGAGATTGGACATTGCTCTCCTCCCAAGAAGTAAGCATCTTCTGATTTCCTGAGACATGATAGGCATGTATAAATATGTGAGAGGTAGTCATAGGAAGGATGGAGAAAGCGTGTTTTCTGCTTCCCTGGAGACTAGGACGCAGAACAATGGCTTCAAACTACAGGAAAGGAGATTCCACCTGAACATTAGGAAGAACTTCCTGACTGTGAGAGCCATTCAGCAGTGGCACTCTCTGCCCCGGAGTGTGGTGGAGGCTCCTTCTTTGGAAGCTTTTAAACAGAGGCTGGATGGCCATCTGTCAGGGGTGCTTTGAATGCAAATTTCCTGCTGCCCTGGAGACTAGGATGCGGAACAATGGCTTCAGACTACGGGAAAGGAGATTCCACCTGAACATTAGGAAGAACTTCCTGACTGTGAGAGCCGTTCAGCAGTGGAACTCTCTGCCCTGGAGTGTGGTGGAGGCTCCTTCTTTGGTAGCTTTTAAACAGAGGCTGAATGGCCATCTGTCAGGGGTGCTTTGAATGCAAATTTCCTGCTTCTTGGCAGGGGGTTGGACTGGATGGCCCACGAGGTCTCTTCCAACTCTAGGATTCTATGAGGCACCTGTGCTCTTTGGCAGAGAAGGCTAAAAAAATCCATGCAAAACTACAACCCTCATGATTTCCATAGCATGGAGCAATAGCAGTTAAAATGATACCAGGCTACATTAATTCTACAGCTTAGATGCATCCTAGGAAATGGGACCCACACATGTGAGTGTGCTTCACATACAGGTGGCCTGAAGGTGGTTTTGTACACAATGTTTTAACAAAGCACATGAAACAAAAGTGTGTGTCCCTTAAACCAGTGGAAAGCAAAGGTGTCCTTGGCTTCAGCCACCCACATAGACAATTGAGGACTTTGCAGGATTTCTGGATAGGTTACAGTTGAGGCGGCCAGAGAAAAAGGAGGAGTGATCCTGGGATTGTGAGATCAGCAAAGAGTGGAGTAGTAGGTGAGGATGGTTTTCTTTTCTTGCATGGCAGGGTGTTGGACTAGATGGCCCATGTGGTCTCTTCCAACTCTTTATTATTCCATGATTCTCTGTCGCGCACTATCCAGTGCCACAGGTTTGGGGACTGAAGAAACAATTCATCGAGGGAAGCAGAATTCTCTTTTTGGAGGAGAGTGCCCATATTTTGGTCCCCCAGCAGCATCTGAGATACCAGAGTGGAAAATGGAGTGGGCTCCTGTCCCTTTAATGGTTCCGAAGGGGAGGGAGCTTCAGCAAGTGTTTGCTTATAGCTTGATTGTGTGACAGGCAAGTGCATTCTGTAGTCTGCTCTTTGAGGTAGCCATTGAACAGTCAGCAGCCCTAGCCCTGCTCTTGATCTTTTCATGCGAGATTATCTCCTTTTAACTTCAGGTCAGAGGACATTGGTGTCTCGCCTCTTCCTTAAGCAGCGATCTAGCAACACACAGGGCAAAGGTTTGTGCCGCCAGACTTTTTTATGTAACTAGGAGTCATATGTCATTTGGATGTTTGTAACTTGGGGACTGCCAGTTCAGTGCATTATATTGCAGCGTAGATCCAGTCACAATGGGGATCTTTTTTCTGTTTTCTGTAGTGGTGATGGAAGTTGTGAGGCAGTTGGTGAGGAACTGGAAGAGTTCAGTTCATTTTGTAAGATGGATTTGAGGTTGTGTGTTCAATTGAGTTAGAACGATGGTAACCTTGGTGTTGTGTTAACTTATTTCTTAGGAATAGTGTAAAAAACTGATTTGCAGGAACTGCTATTTGGGTGAAATGAGAATCTGAGAAAGTAGTTCATAGTACAGCTGGGAAGGTTTTTCAATGGAAAGGCGGTGATTTCTATAGGCGGATTTGAGAAACAAGCTTATAAGCCCTAATTGACTTCATAGGTTAAAATAAGCATGCTTGCTTCAGATATATTGTTTATTTAAGGCATGTGTTATTAAAAGAAACCTGGTTTTGTGATATGTACAGACTTCCTTTACATGAAAAATGAAACCTGTTGAATGATTTAGCTCTGCTTTCAAATCAGGAAATGATAGCTTTGTATTAAATGTTTGTACTTTATGTTAAACAAAACGTAGAGAACAAAGGTTTTGTTAATTATGCTGCCAAATTACCTCTGTGGCAGCAAAGAAACTTCACATTTCTACACACTTTTTGTTTGCCTAGTGCCATGTGAACTATTCTTTCTTCTTTTGGACATTTTACAGATGAATGATGGCTTGTTATGCCATCCTGATTAGGGTTAATGGTCAAATGAAGTTATGGATTGGCACTGGTGCTGAAGCATGTCACGGGTGATCTGCGTGCATATGCAACTTAGATAGTGCAAAGTTCCCAGTTAATGAAATTTTCATTTATGCTTTTTGTGCATTAGCTGTTCTACAAATGTGGTGACAAAGTGGCATCAACATCTTGATACTTCCTAGAGGTATTCCTTCATTAGTGCTTATATAGTTGTGATAATTATTTTGTGATTCACTATCAAATTAGTTGAAATCATATGGTTGATTATTTATTTATTTATGACATTTCTACCCCGCCTTTCTCCAACCCAGAGGCAACTCAAAGTGGCTTCACAGTCAGGCAGCCATTCAATGCCTTCAACAATATGCAACTAAAAACAACATTTAAAACAGAATTATAAAATACATACATTAGGACCTTTAAAAACATATAAAGATAATACCTTCACTGATGGGTTTTAGCTAGCATCTAAAGCTTGTCACTAATGCCTGACTTGCACTTTCCATGCTTATCTTTTTTCTTCCTGCACACCTGTTGCTTTGCTTTTGCAATGTTAAGTTAGTGCTAGATAGGCAGAGCCAACCTGCATGGACTTGCACTGTGAATAATTTCCATTGATACACTCTGTCATTTACCTTTAGACTGTATAAATTGACTGGCAACTGTAATTTCTCCATAGATTAAACAGCCATACATTTATAATTTCTTCATTGCCTCATCTTAACAGGTCCAAGCTTTTTGTGTTCAAAGAAAAAGTACAGTGTTGAGCTTTACAAATGTAGTATCGAGCAGTATAAACTATAAAATCGCAGTTCAAAAGATTCAGTTTTCGAAGTTGCTAAGTCTAGATCACTGCTTCAAATTGGGTCCCCTTAGCTCAATGTTGGGGTCCCAAAAATAGGCAACAGTAAAAGTTTTCCAAACATTATTTAGTGACTGTTTTAGGCAGTAAATAGTGTTGTGCAGTGTTTACAGTGGACTTTACAAAAGATGCCTTAGCTGTTACTTTATTAAAAGGAAAATCAGCTTGTTTAACAATGTTGATTTTTTTAAAACCAGGAAATGCTTGAATTTTATAATTATTTTATATATCTATATACCCGGGGTTACATAAACATTTCTCAAAAGTGGAAAAGTTTAATAAGATGGTCTAGATAATAGTTTTGACAGCAGATTTGTAGGAGGTTTATTCATACAGGACTGCTTGTGGAAAATAAGCAGTGGACTGACCACTAAAACATTTTTGCTCCAAGAAAACAGTATAAACAAATACAGCAGTCTTAGAAAGTTCTAGTAAAACATAGTTTTCTTATTATCCAAAATTTCCTAATTTTCTCCCACACCGGGTATTTCAAATCGGCTGCATTTTACTTTAAAAACAAGAATATAACACAGCTCTACTTTTTAAAAAGTAATTGAATAAATATGCTAAATTGGACCTTCATCAAAATATAATATTGGAAATACTTCTTCAACACAGAATACGAGCTATATATCATGCTTTTTGTTTGAAAATGTTATTTACAAACTTTCTGAAAAACTATCATTACTGACTTTTGACACTAAGAAAGGTATTGGTGAAAATGGAAGAATTAAAGAACTGTTTGCAAAAGGGTGAATCCAAAGTTGGCACAGTTTATAGCAGCCCAAGTCAGTTACTTCGTATTGGCACTGCCCTTAGAATCATAGAATCAAAGAGTTGGAAGAGACCTCATGGGCCATCCAGTCCAACCCCCTGCCAAAAAGCAGGAATATTGCATTCAAATCACCCCTGACAGATGGCCACCCAGCCTCTGTTTAAAAGCTTCCAAAGAAGGAGCGTCCACCACACTCCGGGACAGAGAGTTCCACTGCTGAATGGCTCTCACAGTCAGGAAGTTCTTCCTCGTGTTCAGATGGAATCTCCTTTCTTGTAGTTTGAAGCCATTGTTCCGTGTCCTAGTTTCCAAAGTAGCAGAAAAACTTTTAAAACTAGAGGTTGGCAATTTCCTTCCTACAGAGCCTCACAAGGCCTGTCGTAAATAAATAAATCCACAGCTCTGCACTTTACTACTAATCAACCAGTAATTATAGTGACTGGAAAGAGGTAGACCCTGCCCACAAAACATTTTTAAAGGTATGTAGTCTGCAAGTAGTGGGTTAAAAATATAGTAAATTATTTTGGACTGAAAGATAATTGAACATTATTCTAGCTACAGAGCAAGCAGAGCTTGTTAAAAGATGGAAATCAGCAACAATACCACCATAGTGTAATTAAAGAAATGACTATCCAGTAATGGCATCAAGGTCTTCTGTAAGAGTCTGGTATAAATAAACTATAAACTAACTTATGTATTTTTTTTCTTTTGGGACAGCAGTATATCCTTAGGTAATTCTAAATGAATCCTGACACGATTTCTTCCGCTTCAGCCTTGGGAGGCACCACAACATGGCTAGTTGCAGTTCTGGGAACATTTTTGGTGACTCTGCTTGGGGCAGCACACAAACTGGGACTGCTCTATCAACTCTGGCATCAGGTAAACTAAACGTTGCTTTTAGACACTTGTTAATAGGAAAGACAAGACCTTAAAGACAATTAGGATCTGATTTGAAATCATGCTCACTTAGGTTTCCTTTCTGAGATTTGTGTCCCCTCTGGAATCTGGTAGTTTTGATTTCTGTTGCAGTGAAATCCATAGCAAAACAACTGTAGCAAGTACTTTTAATGAGCCATCTATGATTTTAAAATGAGCTAGCCCCATAGGTGCCCGTAGTTTTCCTGCTCCCAAGGCCTTCTGTTTACCTATCAGAGTTTCAATAGGAATTGCAACAATAGTTGCCAGCTTGTGTTTCCTGCAAAGCCAGCACAAAATATTGCCTTCTGTTCCAGGTGGATCCTAAGAGTACTCGACATGGTGGGGAGATTGTGGCAGAAGTTCTGAAAGCTCATGGTGTACCCTATGTATTCACCCTGGTTGGTGGACATATCTCTCCCATTTTGGTGGCCAGCGAGAAGCTGGGCATCCGTATTGTGGACACAAGGCATGAAGCAACAGCTGTATTTGCTGCAGATGCAGTGGCCAGGCTCTCAGGTACCCGCCTTTATAGTGTCTGTTTGCTGACATAAGTGATGTGATGGGGCACAAATTGACCCCACTTTTGTATTTTTCTGTTGCAGGCACAGTGGGAGTTGCTGCTGTGACAGCAGGACCTGGTGTGACAAACACTATAACGGCTGTGAAAAATGCCCAAATGGCAGAGTCTCCTGTGTTGTTGATTGGCGGGGCAGCAGCTACATTGCAGAAGGTAGGCCATTCCAGCCACTGTTCCGTGGGTTGGAAGGAAGAAAGAGCTGGAGCTTGATGCTGTTCATGCTTGGTCTACATTTTGACCTCAACCTTCATCATCACTATTTGTCAGTAGCAGAATTGATGTGGCTAATTTACTGTGTGTGTGTGTGTGTTTCTCATGACAAAGTCAAGTGTTACCATCAGAGATTCTATGAGAGTGAAAAAGAGAGTTTTTGTGTTTCTCTTCTCTCACCTTCTTAGGGCCGAGGGGCTCTCCAGGACATTGATCAGTTGTCCCTCTTGAAGCCACTTTGCAAATTTTGTGCTTCAGTGAAGACTGTCCGAGATATCAGCCCTGTGCTGCGAAAGGCTATCGCTGTTGCTCAGTGTGATACCCCAGGTATGTCAAGGCTTGAAATAAGCCCTTATGGCTCACCTGGATTTTCAGTGTCTGGAACTATTGAAATGATCTGTGACCATTAAATGCTGCTATCCTATTTAGTGGATTAAAACCTCTCTTCTTGCTTTTGCCTCCCATATGGGCCATGAAAATCTAAACCACTTTCTCTTGGGGCAACACTGCTTCTATCTTTGAGTAAAGCAGAAACAAACTCTCAAGGATTTCAGGAGGTTTTATTCATTTTCTCTTTGTATTGTCCAAGCAGGTATTTTATTAGCAAGAGGAAATGGTTTAAACATGTCCTGCTCATCCTGCAGGTCCCGTGTTTGTGGAGTTCCCTCTGGATGTGTTGTATCCCTATCATCTGATTGAGCGAGAGCTTATCAAGAAAACAGGTTCTAAGGGTGTTTTGGGAAAGGCTGTTAACTGGTGAGTTGCCCCCCCCTTTAAAAAAAACCCGGTTGATTCCTATGTTTTGAGGAGAGTCCAGTAACGATCACTCCTTGGGTTAGTAGGTGTCTTGTGGCCAAATTTGGCGGCAATTCGTCCAGTGGTTTTTGAGTTCTGTTAATCCCACAAATGAACATTACGTTTTTATTTATATAGATTACTAGCCGTCCCCTGCCACACGTTGCTGTGGCCCACATAGCTGTTCTGTGTGGGAGTTCGGAATGTTCTGTGATTGTATGTGTATGTTCGGAATGTTCTGTGATTGTACAAATCCCAGCAACCACAACTCCCAAATGTCAAGATTCTCTTTTCCTCAAACTCCACCAGTGTTCACATTTGGGCATATTGRGTATTCATGTAGAGTTTGGTCCAGATCCATCATTGTTTGACTCCACAGTGCTTTCTGGATGTAGGTGAACTACAACTCCAAAACCAAAGCACATTGCACACCAAACCCTTCCAGTATTTTCTGTTGGTAATAGGAGAACTGTGTGCCAAGTTTGCTTCAATTTCATTGTTGGTGGGGTTCAGAATGCTCTTTGATTGTACTTAAACGGCAAATCCCAGAAACTACAAATCCCAAATGACAAAATCAATTTTTTTGAGTGAAGGACATACATTGGACTGTTAGGTGTCTTGTGTCCAAATTTGGTGTCAATTCGTCCAGTGGTTTTTGAGTACTGTTAATCCCACAAACTAACATTACATTTTTATTTATATAGATGATGATGGTGGTGGTGGTGGTGGTGGTGGTGATGATGATGATGATGATGATGATGATTATTATTATGGCACCCTCTTGACCTCAGTGGTCACCTTTTTTATCCTTTACTAGGTACCTGCGCAGTTATTTGGGAAACCTCTTTGCTGGAGCATGGGCAGTGCGAGACCTTTCACCTTTGCCAGTGAAGATACCAAAAGCTACAAAGAAAGAAGTAAGGCTCCCTACAGGAGACATCAAAAAGCACACCAGAATAGGCCACCTCATTATTTCTTCCTTCCTAGAGAAACATTTTACCTTTAAACTCTTTGCTGCCTGCACCAGCATTTAATGATACTCAGGCAGAAAAAACGAAATGCAAAGATACAGAATGGGGAACAATGCCTGGCTCTAGAGCAGTACGTGTGAAAAAGATCTTGGAGTCCTCGTGGACAACAAGTTAAACATGAGCCAATAATGTGATGTGGCGGCAAAAAAAGCCAATGGGATCTATAGTGTCTAGATCTAGGGAAGTCATGCTACCCATCTATTCAGCTTTGGCTAGACCACATCTGGAATATTGTGTCCAATTCTGGGCACCACAATTTAAGAGAGATATTGACAAACTGGAATGTGTCCAGAGGAGGGTGACTAAAATCAAGGGTCTGGAGAACAAGCCCTATGAGGAGCAGCTTAAGGAGCTGGGCATGCTTAGCCTGAAGGAGAGAAGGCTGAGAGGAGATATGATAGCCATGTATAAATATGTGAGAGGAAGCCACAGGGAGGAGGTAGCAAGCTTGTTTTCTGCTTCCCTGGAGACTAGGACACGGAACAATGGCTTCAAAGTACAAGAAAGGAGATTCCATCTGAACATGAGGAAGAACTTACTGACTGTGAGAGCCATTCAGCAGTGGAACTCTCTGCCCCGGAGTGTGATAGAGTCTCCTTCTTTGGTAGCTTTTAAACGGAGGCTGGATGGCCATCTGTCAGGGGTGATTTGAATGCAGTATTCCTGCTTCTTGGCAGGGGGTTGGACTGGATGGCCCATGAGGTCTCTTCCAACTCTTTGATTCTATGATTCTATGATTCTTTTAAAAGATAGCAGATTGATACTTAAAGATATGTTCTCATCACCACCAGCAAAGCCTCAAATGGTTGTTTTCCAATATTCATTGGGCTAGGATGAAGGTATTTGTCCAGACCCCATCGTATCCAGTATACTCAAGTAGTGGCCACATTACGAATTCAGGATCCGAGTCTTTGCTCTCAGTCTGATCTTGTGCTGGACCTATCTCTGTGCAGGTGCAACAGTGTGTAGAGCTCATCAGTCGGGCTAAGAAGCCAGTCATCCTTCTTGGCAGCCAAGTGACCCTACCTCCCACCCCAGTGAAGAAGCTCAGGTGAGATACATTGTGCTACCTGTCCTTAGAACATTTCTGAGAAGCCCTAATAACCATTTTGGTTCCATTCAGTCTTTGACCAGAGCTTTGGGCAGTGTCTCCCATTAGATAGTTTTTTGATGTGAGGATCATCATAATTTCTTGGGAAAATTGGGGTAGCAATGGAGTTGCCAGATCAAACAAGGAAGCCAGACTTGAGAGAGCAAAGCATGATTCCGGATTAATAGGTAGGAGAAGGTTGGAGACAGGATTCTCTCAGAGAAAGGAGGTGTTGTTGCTGATAACTGTGAATGGACTAGTGGTTGTGAAGTTCTTACAGTGAGCTCTTCCTCCCTGCTCTTATCCTTACAGAGATGCTTTAGAAGAACTAGGGATTCCATGTTTCCTGGGAGGCATGGCCCGTGGCATGCTGGGAAAGAATAGTCCACTGCATATTCGTCAAAACCGTCGAGAGGCACTCAAGGAGGCAGATGTAGTCATTCTGGCAGGTAGTTTGGTCTGAGAGGTGACTGCCAGCCCTTTGCCTGTTCAGTCTGTCTATAAACAGTGGGGCAACTTTTTTTTCTTATCATTATTTTTAAATTTCCATTCCAACTTATGCTACATATAACTCTATCACACACCTTTTATCCACTTGTACATATTGTATTTCTTTATAATAATTATTATACTGTTTTTCCCCACTTCCCCATACCCTTAGTTTGTGCCCCCTTCACCAGGACCAACCAACTCATGTTGTTTCACAATTCCAAAATATCATTGTTTCTCTTGCTGGCTTATACCCCTTTCCCTCATTAAACACATACTCAATATATTTCCCCATATTTTCCAAAAGTATTATTTCCATATTCCCCTTTTAATTTTAATATTGCAAGTTAGCTTATCATTAATCGCTATATTCCAAATTTCCCTAAACCATTCTTCTAATTGAATTTCTTTTTTTTCTTTCCATTTTTTTGCTATTAACAATTTAGCTGCTGTTATCAATTTAGAAACCAATTCTTTCTCTTCTTGTAAGGGAATTATATTATCATGTATAATAATGCTCATTTTGGTGTAATATCAATCTCTATTTTTATTATTGCTCATATTTTGTATAATATTACATAACCACCACGTATGAAGGTACCTCCCTATTTCCTGACAACCTCTCCAGCATTGATTTGAGTATTTTTTTATTAATTTGATTTAATCTAATGGGAGTTAGATACCACCTCCATATCATTTTGTAGTAATTTTCCTTAATTCTTATAGACATATTTTTTAGTATTCTCATATTCCATATGTTTGCCTATTCTTGATTATTCATTTTCTCCCCAAGTCTGTTTCCCATACTTTCTTCAAATAATCTTGTTCCTGTTCGTTCATTAATAATAGTTTATAGATATCACTTACTGTACCTTTTAATGTTATATTCTCTTCTTTAGTCTCCCTTTGAGTTATCATCTTTTCGATTTTTGTATATTCCCTACCTCCATTATACTTTTTCCTTATATCACTTGACCATTTACCCAATTGTGGGGCAACTTTTGGTGATTTGTGGGAAAGGGAGAGTTTTTCTGTGGGTTGTCCATTTCCTTAATTCCCGTTTCTCTTCCCAGGCACCGTCTGTGATTTTCGTCTGTCCTATGGGCGTATCTTGAGCAAGGGCAGTAAAATCATTGCTGTCAATAGGAATCGGGAGCAACTGCTGAAAAATGCACACATATTCTGGAAGCCCCACATTGCCATAAAGGGTGAGGGGCCTGTATGTGAATATTGGAGAAGAATGCTATGGATTTGGTGAGGATGGGGTTGCTGAAGGGAGTGTGTCATGGCATGACCTGGTGATGCCAGTGACCCTTCCTGAAATGTGTTCTTCTTAGACTTGTAACTCTTTACCAACAGGAGATGCTGGCTCCTTCCTTGTGCACTTGAGCCAAGAGCTTAGGGGCTATTCATGTCCCCGTGACTGGGTAATAAGTCTGAAGGAGACTGATCACGTGAAGGAGAAACAAAACAGGTTAGAAGCTTTGCTGTGACAAAATACCAGTTGCAAATTGTTACCCAAACAGAACTATCTTAACATAAACCATGTAAATACACTGCATATAAACCACACAAAGAAATTACAAGTCTGAGTGCTACTTGGTTGTCTCGTAGTCCTTGAAAAAGTAAACTGTCTTCAAAATGCAGTCCAAATAAAGTCCCAGTAGTTCAAATTGCTGTCCAATTCAAAATATTATCCAAATTATAATGCTTGCTGTCCAGTTCAAAATATTATCCAAATTATAATGTGACAAGGATCCCTGGGTTGAGGTTGCCTTGTTTCGGGGGACTTCCCCTTCTTCAGGATTTTGTCTTCTTTGTAAAAGTGGGTGGTTCACCATACATCCCTAAATGGGTGATAACAAACAACATAATAGATATGCCAAAAAAGGCACCCAAAACAAAACATTCAGTGATAATGACATGCATTCCAGTGAGAAAGACTACACAACGTTATTACTCAGGTTATTAATGAGACGTTATTAATGAGGCCCTACAGTTTGGTCTTCGATAGTGAGCAATGCAGTTACACAGAAGCAAGGATTTAAAGGCAAGGCTAGTTACAGGCAGTCAGCTGGAATGTAAAACAAGTAGATAAGGTCAATAATAGAGCTTATTATAAAAATAGCTGAGGTCCAGTCTATCGTTAACCACTGTGTTAAACTTAAAAATCCAAAATGCTTCTCTTTGCAAAAGGTAATTCTTAGTATCTATATGTTGCTCAGTGTGGATTTTTTCTGTGATACAAAACTTGAAGCTGGTGGATGTATGTCCTTTCTCCAGAAAATGAGAATAAAGAGTACTATCATTGTGTTTGTTTTTTATGCATGAGCAATGTTCCATAATTCTGACCTTGACAGATCTACTTATTGATAATGTTATATGTTTAAGTTTATTTTAATTGCTTGTATTGTTGTGATTATTGCTTGTATTATTGTTTTCGGGCTCGGCCTCATGTAAGCCGCGCCGAATCCCTTGGGGAGATGGTAGCAGGGTACAAATAAAGTGTTGTTGTTGTTGTTATTATTATTATCTACTTGTCATTCCAATATAAAGAAGGTCACATGGGCATAAAATACAATATATAGCATTTTCCGAAGAGCAGGTAGTAAAATCATTTAAATGTATAGTAATCTTCATGGTTGGGTGTGTGAATTGTTGAGTCTTCAAGGATTGGGAGCAACATTCACAGTGTCCATAGTAAGTATGTCATCTAAGACTAGGTAGACTTTTTATGGTAGGTTTAGTGAGATCTGATCTAATCAACATGTCCTTTAAATTTTTAGTGTGTTTGTATGCTACCATCGGTGTATTTTGTCATTGTTATAGATATCGGTGTTTTTTTGATAGAAGCTTTGCTGTACCTGCATGTATGGGCATGTTTATGTGGATGTGCAAATCTGTAGAACCTGCAAGTGTGGTTTATTTGGTTAATGCTATGATAAGTAGTGAATCAGGTTAGCTGTGGGTCTCTCAGAACACTCTTATACTTCTTCCCTTAAGAGAGAAGGCTGAAGAACCAACAGAGCACCACCTCAACCCATTGAAACTGCTGCACCATGTTGATTGCTTGCTTCCTGAAGACAGCTTGCTGGTTGCAGATGGAGGCGACTTCGTGGCAAGTGCTGCTTACATTGTAAAGCCTAGAGGGCCCCTATGCTGGCTTGATCCAGGTAATATGAGATATTACCGTATTTCCATCTACGAACCCATGCGATCCCTTCGATCCCCTGGAGAGGCCCTTCTTTCGCTCCCGCCCTCTTTGCAGGTGCGACTTGCGGGGATGAGAGAGAGGGCCTTCTCTGTGGTGGCCCCCTGGCTCTGGAACTCACTCCCCAGAGACATTAGACAAGCCCCCATACTGGCAATCTTTAGGAGGAATTTGAAAACCTGGTTATTCCAATGTGCCTTCAGTGATTGAATGTAAGATTCTCCCTGACTACACTTTGCACAAAATGTCCTTAGACGCACTTTATTTTATGGGTTGTGCAATGAAATCCTTCCTCATTCTTGGAGACTCCTTCTTATAAGTTACACTGTCCTATCTCCCAGTGTTTTTAAATTTTTTATATTTTTTTCCATGCATCTAGCCCTGCCTAGTGAAATTCCCTGTGTTTTTAATGTTTGATTTTATATTATGTTGTATATCAGGGGTCCTCAAACTAAGGCCCGAGGGCCAGATATGGCCCTCCAAGGTCATTTACCCGGCCCTCGTCCAGGGTCAACTTAAGTCTGAAATGACTTGAAAGCACGCAACAACAACAACAACAATCCTATCTGATCAGCCAAAAGCAGGCCCACACTTCCCATTGAAATACTAATAAGCTTATATTTGTTAAAATTGTTATTTGTTTTTATTATTGAATTGTTTTTAAGTGTTTTTTTGCACTACAAATAAGATATGTGTGGTGTGAGCAGGAATTCATCCAYATTTTTTTCAAATTACAATCGGATTATAATTTGAAAAAAAAATGAATGAATTCCTGTGCACACTGCACATATCTTATTTGTAGTGCAAAAAAATAATAAAAACAATACAATAATTAAAATGAAGAACAATTTTAACAAATATAAASTTATTAGTATTTTAATGGGAAGTGTGGGCCTGCTTTTATTTATTTATTTATTTATTTATTTATTTACCTTACTTATATACCGCTGTTCTYAGCCCGAAGACGACTCACAGCGGTTCACAACAATAAGAGACAGCAGAATTCAATGTTACAGTATAAAAACAGTTATCAACTTAACACATTGCACAATTAATAAACAATTAACAATTAACAATTACTACATAGCCATTCGCCATCGTCTCATCATGCTTTTGGCTGATCAGATAGGATTGTTATTGTATGTTTTCAAGTTATTTCAGACTTAGGTTGACCCTGAGCGAGGGCAGGGTAAATGACCTTGGAGGGCCGTATCCAGCCCCCCCGGGCCTTAGGTTGCTCTATGCCATGCTGTAAACTCTGTACTTGATATTAATATTGAAATACCATAATTAAAAGCTAATTAAGACAAAGACAACTGATGCTGGTTGCTTGAGAGTTCCATTTGCTTGGGTTCCAGTTAACAAAGGTTCCTTCTACACTGCCATATAAAATCCAGATTATCTACTTTGAACTGGATTATATGGCAGTGTAGACTCATATAATCCAGTTCAAAGCAAATAATGTGGATTATGTTCTTTAATATTCTGGATTATATGGCAGTGTAGAATGAGCCTGAGAAACTGCTATATCCAACATTTCTGTTTTGCATTTAAAATGCCAAGTAAACTAATTTCAAAGAATTAAAAGACAAAATGATATATTAGAAACTAAGTCGACATATAAACGCTCTATCCCAAACCTTGAAAGCAATAAATAAATAAATAAAAATCCTGATGAAAACAATTTAGGAGGTGCCATGCCAGAATAGTTCAGTCCCTGATATTCCTTCTATTTCTTCCCCCTGCAGGAGCCTTTGGGACCTTGGGAGTCGGTGGAGGCTTTGCCTTAGGAGCCAAGCTTTGCAGGCCAGAATCTGAGGTTAGTGTTCAGTAGTGGGAAGCCAAGGGCGGAGACTTGGGTGGAATGTCTTCTCTTCCCCAGAGAGGTTACCAAGCTGAATGTCTGAGTCCCCAACCCACATGTTTGCTTACATGGAACATCTCCAGACTGACCAACCCTTCTTCCCAGTAACAGTTGCTTGCTTTTGGAAAAAGTAAATAGAATACTAAAAACTTCTGTGGTTTCATTTCACTCTCCATGGTTTCTGGCTGCTGTATCTACCCTCCTTTTGAATCATTCCCAGGTCTGGATCCTGTATGGTGATGGCTCACTTGGCTTCAGCGTAATGGAATTTGACACCTTTGTACGACATAAAGTAAGTATAACCCAGCCAGGTTTCTAAGGATCCTGTGTTTGCCTGGCATCAATGGGTGCAAAAATAACTAGAACAAGTTCAAGTAGAAAAGCTGTTGGAAGCTTTGCCATGAAGTTCCTTCATGCTCAGGAGCAACTCGTTGCAGTTTTGGTCCTTCCTGGAAATTGGTTTTGGTAGTGTGTGATTTTGACATGGAAATGATGATAACATTATTATTATTATTATTATTATTATTATTATGCTTATTATTATGCTTATTATTGTGGTTATTATTATTATGGTTGTTATTATTATGGTTATTATTACACATGTAACACAATTTTTGTTCCTGGGTTATAAATGTCATTTCCTAATTGCTTCTATCATAAAAACAGGAGGAAAGCTTATGAAACTGCAAGAACTTTTGTTTTTGCTGAACATCCTGCAGCACATTTATTTATTTATTTCATATATTTATATCCCACCCTTCTCCCCACAAGGGGGACTCAGCGTGGCCTCACATGAGCATCAGAGGATGCTAACAACATCAATACCATAAAAATTACAATGCACAATAAAATCATTTTAAAACATTGTACAACATCATCAGTAAAATTTAACAATAAATTAATAGATTAACGTGCCAGTAAAACCAAGCCGAGCCAGGAGAATCCATGTCGCAAAATCCAAATTTCCCTTTCCTATTGCCGCTGGCCTCTTATTGAATGCCTGGCCCCAGAGCCAGGTCTTCAGTTGTCTTCTAAAGGACAGGAGGGAGGTGGCCAACATGTTATCCTTAGGGAGAGAGTTCCACAGATGGGGGGCCATTGCCAAGAAGGCCCTGTCTCTCGTCCCCACCAACCGCATTTGTGAGAGTGGTGGAATCGAGAGCAGGGCCTCTCCTGATGATCTTAAGCTTCGTGATGGTTCATAGCAGGAGATACGTTTGGACAGGTAATCTGGGCCAGAACCATTCAGGACTTTAAAGGTTAAAACCAGCTATAGTTTGCTGCTTGGGAGTGATCCTGGATTCATCACTGAGCCTGGAACCCCAAGTTTCGGCGGTGGCCAGGGGAGCTTTTGCACAGTTAAAGCTTGTGCGCCAGCTGTGCCCGTACCTTGGGAAGTCTGATCTGGCAACAGTGGTCCACACTCTTGTTACATCCTGAATAGATTACTGCAACGCACTCTACGTGGGGCTGCCTTTGAAGACAGTTCGGAAACTTCAGCTAGTCCAACGGGCTGCAGCCAGATTACGAACTGGGGCTGCATACAGGGAGCATACCACCCCCCTGCTATGCCAGCTCTACTGGCTGCCGCTCCACTTCCGAACTCTATTCAAAGTGCTAGTTTTGACCTATAAAGCTCTATACAGTTCTGGCCCCGCTTACTTATTCGAACGCAGCTCCCTCTACATCCCGCTTTGCAGTTTAAGATCATCCAGGGAGACCCTGCTCTCACTCCCGCCAGCGTCACGAATACGTCTGGCGGGGACAAGAGACAGAGCCTTCTCAGCTGTAACCCCCCACCTGTGGGACTCACTTCCCAACGAGGTAAGATCGGCTTCATCCCTCCTGTCTTTTAGGAAGAAATTGAAGTTGTGGTTCTGGGACTAAGCATAAATAGTGCTTTGGATATGGAATTTGACTGGAATGGTGATATGCCGGTTAATACTGTTTTTATTGTTTTAATTAATATTGTATTTATTGTTTTATTTGTTGTTACATTGCTTTGTTATATTTAAAGGCATCAAATTGTGCCAAATGTAAGCCGTCCTGAGTCCCCCTTTGGGGATTGAGAAGGATGGGTAGAAATACTGGAAATATAGTTTTTCAAGTCTTGACCAATTCAATAAAGTTTGTGACAGCCACAAAAATTAAGTTTCGGGAGTATAACAAATACTTTCAAAGTAAGCATTGCACAATTAAACAAGAAATAATGCTTTCAAACCGGGAACAAAAAACATTCAAGTTTTGTTACATTGTGTTATTATTATTATATTTATTACAAGCCTATCCACACAGTTTGAGGCAGGACACAAAATAAAATAGTCAATAACATACACATATTAAAATGTATTTCTATGAAATACACATATGAAAATACACAGAACAAAGACTAAAATTCAGGAGACACAGAATGTGACTTTAAAATTCATAATTAAAAATGGATTGGGTGTAACATAAGGTGTGCCAGGTCTTTCCTATTTGTTATGTAGGGAACTTAATTCAGAGAGGCATTGTGATTTCAGTGCAGACTATTCTTTTATTCCACTTCCCACAGAGGCCTGGCGATTGGCTTTAGCTGTAGATCGCTAGGCCAGTCAGCATAACAAAAGCTGGTTTCCCTTTGAAAGTGTGGGTCTTAAGAGCAACATAATTCTTTGGGAGGACCATGCAGCACTTTTCCTGAATTATGTTTCTTCTAATAACATTTTGTCCTGTTCTGTCAGACACCAGTCATTGCCCTGGTAGGGAATGATGCCTGTTGGAGCCAGATCTCACGAGAGCAAGTGCCTATGCTTGGCAGCAATGTCGCCTGTGGCCTGGATTACCTGGGTGAGTTAGAACCCTGAATAGAATTTAACATGATGTTGTACGGAAACAAAAGGGCCTAGGTTGAATTTTCTTGAGCAGAGAGTTCTCAAGTAGGTCTGGGAAGTGATCCTCTTTCCCAGCCTCTTAAGGTGGGAAAAAAAAATCCCCCTGTGGAACAAAACTCCTTTTTGCTCAGTGTCACAGGTCAGATTTGCCGGTAAGATTCAATTGCTTACCTATCATGGGCACAGACACTTTGAGTCTTGAAAAGACCCAAACCAGATTATACTTTTCTTTTTATTATTTACTAGCCGTCCCTTGCCATGCATTGCTGTGGCCCACATGGGGGTTCTATCGTTGGTGGGGTTCAGAATGCTCTGTGATTATAGGTGAACTATAAATCCCAGCAACTACAACTCCCAAATGTCAGGATTCTATTTTCCCCAAACTCCACCAGTATTCACATTTGGGCATATTGAGTATTCGTGTTGAGTTTGGTCCAGATCCATCATTGTTTGAGTCCACAGTGATCTCTGGATGTAGGTGAACTACAACTCCCAAACTCAATATCAGTGCTCACCAAACCCTCCCAGTATTTTCTGTTGGTCATGGGAGAACTGTGTGCCAAGTTTGGTTCAATTCCATCGTTGGTGGGATTCAGAATGCTCTTTGATTGTAGGTGAACTATAAATCCTAGCAACTACAACTCCCAAATGACAAAATCAATTTTTTTGAGTGAAGGACATACATTGGGTTGTTAGGTGTCTTGTGTCCAAATTTGGTGTCAATTCGTCCAGTGGTTTTTGAGTACTGTTAATCCCACTAGCAAACATTACACTTTTATTTATATAGATTTAAAACTTTTATATCCCGATCTTCTCCACCTCCGTAGAGGGACTCAGACCCTCTTAAAAGTGTTTAATGTCCGATTTTATACTGCTGTCTCGTTTATTATTTTGGTTTTGCATTTTATGTTTTTATTTTTTAGTTCTGTTATGCTTTGTGTTATATTGTGTTATGCTTTTGTGTAATATTGTGTTTACTGTATTGATGGGCGTGGCCTCATGTAAGCCGCTCCGAGTCCCCCTGGGGGAGATGGAGCGGGGTATAAATAAAGTATTATTATTATTATTATTATTGTATTGTTGAAGGCTTTCATGGCTGGAATCACTAGGTTCTTGTGGGTTTTTTCGGGCTATAGGGCCATGTTCTAGAGGCTTTTTTTCCTGACGTTTCGCCTGCATCTATGGCAAGCATCCTCAGAGGTAGTGAGGTCTGTTGGAATTAGGACAATGGGTTTATATATCTGTGGAATGGCTGGGGTGGGGCACAGAGCTCTTCTCTGCTGGAGCTAGGTGTGAATGTTTCAACTGACCACCTTCATTAGCATCAGTTGAAACATTCACACCTAGCTCCAGCAGAGAAGAGCTCTGTGCCCCACCCCAGCCATTCCACAGATATATAAACCCATTGTCCTAATTCCAACAGACCTCACTACCTCTGAGGATGCTTGCCATAGATGCAGGCGAAACGTCAGGAAAAAAATGCCTCTAGAACATGGCCCTATAGCCTGAAAAAACCCACAAAAACCTTATTATTATTATTATTATTATTATTATTATTATTATTATTATTATTATTATTATGTCAACTCATAATTTCAGATTGTTACTGCTTCACCTCTTATTTCCCTCCAAGTTAGTGAAGCTATTGCTGCTAGGCCAACTACCACCCTCATTGTTCTTGCAGGATTATTTGAGCTTGCAACTTCCGTTCTTTAGGGATCTCAGATGTGTGTACCAATGTTTGTTTGTTTTTTTATAAAACATTTTTATTAAAGAATAAGACAAATTTTCTACATACATAAAAAGAAAAGTGGGAACAGGGGAAAGGCAGGGAGTGAAAAGGGATAATGGAGGGGAAGGAAATTAACAGTAGGGAAAAGATAGGGGTAGGTTGGAGGGTGGGGGGGGGGGGGGGGGGGGGGGGGGGGGGGGATAAAAGTTTGTCTTCCAGTCCAGTAAGCGGGGAGATTTTATTGTATTTTTCCCTCCCTCTTTGAGGTCTTGGTATTCATCAGCTTCTCCTCCTTTATATTCTTTCTTGTTCTTCTTTCTTTTTCTTTCTTTCCCCCCCCACTTCCTTGTCTTAATAGTGTATGTCTTCATTTTTTAAAATTTGTTTGTTCTATTTAATCGAAATTGCTGAGATTCTGCTCCTGATGTGTGTACCAATGTAACGTTAACTATAGGAGCTACACCTCCCCCCTGCCCCCCCCCCCAATAATTCACTAGTTGCCTTGCACTTGCAAGTGTATTGTCTGTCTTTTTAAAATGAAAACATTATTCATTTTCATTGCATAGTTGCCCTTCTAAAAAAAAACAAGCAGGTTACAAGCAGTGAAACTGAGCTGTTGCTTCTGGGGAACAACTCTAGTGATAAAAATTGCTCATTTGCACCGAACGTAATATTTTGTAGCATCTGTGTAATCAGGATGCAAAAATGTTCATTTTTGGCTACCATCTGCATCTTGCTGGTATAAATTGTATGTGTGTGGATCACTAGGTTCAGGTGCAGATAATCTTGTGTTTATTACGCTATTTTTTAACATTATTATTTTATTATTTTATCATGGTTTAATACATTTGTTATACATTGTTTGTTTTACAGCAGATACATATTATTCAATACAATCTACCATCCTTTTGGCATCTAGTGTTATTTTTCTGCTTATACGTATTATCTATCCCTCACCGTTTATTATGCTATTGATACATTCATTTAAGCCAGCAATTTCCTGGCTTTAGAAATGCTTTCCTTGCTATTTGCACTAAAAGTTTTCCCCTTGCTTTCCTTTTTTACATAAACCAGCAACAAAAATCTTGCAATACTTTTAGAGAGAGGGGCAGTATCTAGTCTCCCCTTCTCTTGTGTTCATGACAGATATTCTTCCCTGCAGATTATCACACAGTCGCAGAAGGTTTAGGAGGGAAAGGCTTCCTGCTTGACCGCCAGAATGAGGACCAAATGGATGACATCATCAGGACAGCGCAGTCTGGATGCAGGAGTGGGAAGCCCTACCTCCTCAATGCCCTCATTGGGAAAACAAACTTCCGTGAAGGCTCTATCTCTGTTTAAGGGCTTGACTGAGGCTACAGCATATGGATTCTGGCTAGAGATATGGATTTCTGCTGGTCCAAAGGATCTGACTCAGGTGAATCAATCCTGAACAAGGGAGCAAGATCAGTACAAAAGCTTTACTCCCCAGGGCTAAGAGTTTTAAACCCAGTCTTGGCTCAGCAAACTTGTTTGGGGTCCTTCTAAAAATACCCAATTTCCTTAATTTTTTTTAACAGGAGTCATCATGTTGATGCCTATGTTTGTGCTGGCCTGAGTTGAAGTCTCATTTTGTTCTGCTTTGGGTTATGCCTAACATGATAACCTTCAATATTGTTAACCTCCAGAGAGATTGTTTATTATGCACAGCTCACATTTAACACAGGTTCAACATTAAACTGAAATTGGTATCTTCTTGCTTTCCCATGCCCCCTCTTCTTCATCCGATTGGGTGCTCTGCCTTCCTCCTTGGGACCTCAAATGGGTTTGGTTTTGTGCTCCTGCCCCCTGAGAGCACTTTCTTTATTCCGTTGTATACATACTGTTGTGTACATTCAGGAGCACAGGGCAAGAACAGTTGGCAGCACATCCTTCTGGGCCTTGTGCTTACATTCCCTACATGATATGTGGTCTTGGCTTTTCCTCTAATTTCACGTGCCAGCAACTGTTTATTTTGTGACTGAGGGGTGAATGTCTTCGGCTTATAAGCAATCTTAGCCTTAAACCTTCCTCTAAAGCCAGGTCTAGATCTCCTCTCCATTTTAGCAAGCATTCTTCAGACAGGGAAGGAAAAAAATATTGGATAATGTCCAAGGTTTGGCTCAGTGTACTCTTCTGTTGTTGTTTCTGTCCTTCTGAAGCCACTGTGGAACCTTTTGCGATTCAAACAATAAAGGGATGGAATTTCTTTGCTGCCTCTGTTTTGAACTGTCGTAATTTTAGGCCAACTTCAACTTCTCCCATCCACTACATAAGTGCTCTTCCCTGACTCTGTGGAACATTTTGCCTCATGCTCCTTGCGAAAGAAGGTTTCTACATCCTATGCATATTTTCTTGCGATGCAACTCCTATCAAGATCAGTGAACCTTATTTCCAAGCAGGTGTGCACTGAATTGCAGCACAGGTTGCTTCGGCGTCAAGATTTATAAGATATCAGCACAACCTGACAGTAAATAACTTCCTGTAACAGCTGAGTTGTAGAATCAAAGACTTGACAACCTCTGAGTTCCCTCCCGTCAACTGAATTTGAATTCAGTTTATAATTTGTTCGGTTTTGTTCCAAATCGCTGCTATTATTATTATTATTATTATTATTATTATTATTATTATTATTGTTGACACAAAAGCACAGTATGTCACAGCAAATGAGACCTACATGCTGGATTTCGTATCACAAAATCACAAGTCGAACACTTTATTTATTTATTTACAGCTTTTATATTCCGCCCTTCTCAGCCCTCAGAGGACTCAGGGCGGATTACAGTGTACACATATATGGCAAACATTCAATGCCAATTTTTGACATACAAACATATACAGTCATACACAGAGGCTATTTAACTTTTTTTTTCTGGCCGCCAGGGGAGCTGTCGCTTTCATCGTCCATCTGCGACGCTGATGAAGCACTTCCGCATTCCCCGCATGCTTCCCCGCTGGAATGCTTTGCTGGAGTCTTCTTTATGGCCTCATAAATCAGTTAATTTAGCCTCCCCACACTTTTTAAGGTGGTACCTAATTTTCCTACTTGACAGATGCAACTGTCTTTTGGGTTGCAAAGGTCGACAACAGGCTACACACAATTGGTTGGAAACCCACTCCAACCCGCGCTGGCTTCGAATTCCATGACCTTTTGGTCAGAGTGATCTTAATGCAGCTGACACTCAGCCAGCTGCGCCACAATCCCGGTGCTTCACAAGCATCTAGGACTGTGTGATGTATTTTCTAATGATGCACGCAGATCCAAGTAAGGTGGCCTTTTGCAGTTGACAGATCATGATTTTGTTGATGTTTATTGTTTCCAAATGCCAGCTAAGATGTTTTGGCATGGCACCCAGTGCGCCAATGACCACTTGGACCACCTGTACCGGTTTATGCCAGAGCCTTTGCAGTTCGATTTTGAGATCTTGATAGCGGCTGAGTTTTTCCTGTTGTTTTTCCTCAATGCGACTGTCACCCGGTATGTGACATCAATAATCCAGACTTTTTGTTTTCCACAATCATGATGTATTGTGTATTGTGTTCCAAAACTTTGTCAGTCTGGATTCGAAAGTCCCACAGTATTTTTGCATGTTCATTTTCCACTACCTTTGCAGGTTTGTGATCCCACCAATTCTTTACTACTGGCAGGTGGTAATTGTGACATAAGTTCCAGTGAATCATCTGGGCCACAGAGTTGTGTCTTTGTTTGTAGTCTGTCTGTGCAATTTTCTTGCAACAGCTGAGGAGATGGTCCATGGTTTCATCAGCTTCCTTACACAGTCTGCATTTTGGGTCATCCGCTGATTTTTCAATCCTGGCCTTAATTGCATTGGTTCTGATGGCTTACTCCTGGGCTGCAATAATCAGGCCTTCTGTCTCCTTCTTCAGGGTTCCATTCATGAGCCATAACCAGGTCTTCTCCTTGTCAACTTTCCCTTCAATCTTGTCAAGGCACTGCCCATGTAAGGCTTTGTTGTGCCAGCTGTCAGCTCTGGTTTGGAGTGCAGTTTTCTTGTACTGACTCTTTGTCTACTGTGCTTTGAGAAATTATTATTATTTAATAATAATAATTATAATTATTATTATTATTTTACCTGCTTCTCCTTTCAACTCGAGGTGGAGTCATTCATATCCCTAGAAGCCTAGAGTGGACTTTTTAAAGAATTCCCACACAATTTGTGAAAGTAGGGGCCTCCTGCCACCATTGAGGGAATTTCAGTGCTATCTTTCCACTCCCACTTCCTCTTTCCCACTCAACAACTGACTGGTACGTCTGCTGATTTTCTTAGACAGCTATGTATGGCCAGCTACTGCCTATGTACAAACATGGAATGGGGCCAAAGCTGCTCTGAGCAGCCACAAGCCAGACACACTGATGCTGAGGGAATGTGGTGGAAGGATGCCAGGAGAGCCATTAATCCCTTGAGTGCAATGACGTTGATCTCAAGGCAAATGCAGAATCATTTGGGAGGCAGTTTTGTTCGTAACTACTAGTGCTTTGCTTGCAGAGCACTTGGCAGAAATGTAGACACTAGACCAGGGGTCCTCAAACTACGGGCCGGGGGTCATATGCGGCCCGCCAAGGGCATTTATTCGGCCCACCAAGGAGGAGGCCTCGCTCTCAGTGGAATCAGTCTTGGCTCTGCTAATGCAGAGCTCCTTTCATTCTTTCTTTTTCCCCCTCACGCAGTTTCTCTCTCTTTCTCCCCGTCTCAGTCTCTCCCCCTTTCCTTTCTATTTTACTTTCTCTCTCCTCCTTTCTCCCTTCTCTCTTTCTCCCTCTTTTTTCTCTCCCTTTCTCCTCTTCTTCTTTTTATATCCCTTTCTGGCCAGATGCTAGTGCAGCAGGGCTTGCTAGAGCCCGAAGTGTGCGACCCCACTTTCCTGCACGACCAGGGCCCATGTGGTGAAAAATAGAGTGTATCTACACTGCAGAATTAATGCAGTTTAACACCAGTTTGACTGCCATGGCGTAATACTATGGAATCCTGGGATTTAAAATTTTATAAGCTGTTTCGCCTTTTCTGCCAAATGATCAAACCGCAGCTCCAGGATTCCATAACATTGAGTTAAAGTGGTTCTTCATTTTAAATATTGTATTTGTTTCCATTTTATTTTTTTACTTCAAAATAAGATTTGCATAAGAATTTGTGTGCATAAGAATTTGATCATAGTTTTTTTAAAAAAACTATAATCCGGCCCTCCAACGGTCTAAGGGACAGTGAACCAGCCCCCTGTTTAAAAAGTTTATTGCTTAGCTCACAACACTAACTTTTTTGCCCAACAGTAGAATGCTCTAAATTATGGTGTCTGTGGTTGAGCCAGCAAATCAGAAAATTGCTTGGTGCTTGCAATCACCTTCATAAGAATCCTTATAATCAAAGTCAGCCAGTTTGAACCAGGTGGAATATTTGTATTTACAAACTTAAATTTAGATACCTTTTAGGGAGAACAATGAGATGAGATATTTTCATATGGATTCCCCAGATATGGGTTTGAAAGGGGCTTGTTTTGTGCGTGCTAAAGGTAGACATGATGTAACATTGATTAGATATGACGTAGCAGTGTGGTGTAGTGGCTTGAGTGTTGGAGTACAATTTCTGGTTCAAATCCATGATCACCCACAGAAACCTACTGGGTGAACCTAGACAACTCACTCTCTCAGCCTCAGAGGAAGGCTGAAATAAATCTTAGGGGTCACCATATGTTAGAACAGACTTGAAGGTACACACACAAATACATGCAGATCACCTGAACTTACCAAACATCCTAGAAAACACTATTGCGCTACTGTAGAATACGGGGAGGAGGGGGGGGTTGTCATAAAGGTTTATCACTGTTTCTTACACCGGAGCCCCCGGTGGCGCAGTGAGCTAAACCCCTTTGCCGGCAGGACTGAAGACCGACAGGTCGCAGGTTCAAATCTGGGGAGAGGCGGATGAGCTCCCTCTATCAGCTCCAGCTCCTCGTGTGGGGACATGAGAGAAGCCTCCCACAAGTATGATAAAAACATCAAATCACCCGGGCATCCCCTGGGCAACGTCCTTGCAGACGGCCAATTCTCTCACACCAGAAGCGACTTGCAGTTTCTCGTCGCTCCTGACACGACAAAAATAAATAAATAAATAAATCAAGGGCTATGTCAGCCTTATGGTTGCCTTCAAAGGGCTATTGCAGGGGTCCTCAAACTAAGGCCCAGGGGCTGGATATGGCCCTCCAAGGTCATTGACCCGGCCCTCGCTCAGGATCAACCTAAGTCTGAAACGACTTGATGAAATGACTTGAAGCCTCCCACAAGGATGATAAAAACATCAAATCATCCAGGCGTCTCCTGGGCAACGTCCTTGCAGATGGCCAATTCTCTCACACCAGAAGCGACTTGCAGTTTCTCAAATCTCTCCTGACACAACCAAAACAAAAACAAAACAAAAAAAACACCAGTAAATTCCGTAAACATACTATGCATTGAACAAAGACTTCCTTTTGTCTGTCTTGAATTCATCTAATTACTTTTAATAAGTGGCCCTGAGAGGTTTTTTTTCTTGAAATGTATATACTGCCATTCATACATAGGTGTTCCATATACATGGCATTTAAACAAAACGAGGAAAATTGCAATATAACAATTGTATAAGAAATCTTCAGCCTGCAAATGAACACAGCATTATTCTTTAAAATCCATTGAGCTATGATATTATAAGGCTGCGAGGGTTGAATGAAAAGTAATGCCTCTACATTCGTAACTCCTCAACAGATATCAGTACTGGTATGCGGCAGGTACTGCCTTGTTCAGTAGACTCTCCTCTACAGTTCCATTTTGGCGGAAAGCCTTAGCATTAAATGGTTGTGTTGTTAAAGTGCAAAGCATGGAACCCTGAACAGACGGTTTGTCAGTGCGACTTAAGCAACGTGCAGTCATTGAATTCTTGACAGCAAGATACAGAATGGGGGACAATGCCTGGCTCGAGAGCAGTACATGAAAAAGATAGTGGATTTTGGAGTCCTCGTGGACAACAAGTTAAACATGAGCCAACAATATGATGTGGCGGCAAAAAAAATCCAATGGGATTTTGGCTTGCATCAATAGGAGCATAGTGTCTAGATCTAGGGAAGTCATGCTACCCCTCTATTCTGCTTTGGTTAGACCACACCTGGAATATTGTGTCCAATTCTGGGCACCACAATTGAAGTGGTGGTTTGAATTGACAAGCTGGAATGTGTCCAGAGGAGGGAGACTAAAATGATCAAGGGTCTGGAGAACAAGCCCCATGAGGAGCAGCTTAAGGAGCTGGGCATGTTTAGCCTGAAGAAGAGAAGGCTGAGAGGAGATATGATGGCCTTGTATAAATACGTGAGAGGAAGCCACAGGGAGGAGGGAGCAAGCTTGTTTTCTGCTTCCCTGGAGTCTAGGCCGCGGAACAATGGCTTCAATCTACAAGAAAGGAGATTCCATCTGAACATGAGGAAGAACGTCCTGACTGTGAGAGCCGTTTAGCACTGGAACTCTCTGCCCCAGAGTGTGGTGGAGACTCCTTCTTTTGAAGCTTTTAAACAGAGGTTGGATGGCCACCTGTCAGGTGTGCTTTGAACACACTATTCCTGCTTCTTGGCAGGGAGTTGGACTGGATGGCCCATGAGGTCTCTTCCAACTCTATGATTCTATGATTCTAGAAGGTGTCACCCCAAGGGAGATTAATCAGAGAATGCAAGCTGTTTATGGTGATTGTGTTGATGTGAGTACTGTGCCTTGTTGGGCGAGTAAGTTTAAAGATGTTGAGGTGGGAACATCTGACTTGTGTGACAAACAAAGAGTTGGACATCCTATGACAGCAACTACCGAGTTTCACAAGCAAAAGATTGACAGATTGACTTAGGACAATCGTTGTATCACTCAGAGAGAAATTTCAAGCATAATCAGCATTTCACAGGAATATGTGGGGTCACATTATTGCTTTGCTTGGCTATCGGAAGATCTGTGCACGATGGGCACCCAGGATGCTGACACCTGAAATGAATGCGCACAGACTTTAAACTTCAGAGACTGGTTCTGACCACTGTACGACATCCTCCATACAGTCCAGATTTAGCACCGTCTGACTTCTATCTATTCCCGATAATGAAAGAAGATCTGCGGGAACATCATTATGCTTCTGATGAAGACATTGAGAGAACTGTGAGACGCTGGTTGCGGAAACAGAGTGTCGACGTCTTCTGTGACGGCTTCAGAAAACATGTTCATCATTGGCAGAAATGTATCCAATTGTCTGGTGATTATGTGGGAAAGTGAATAGTGGTAGTTAAAGAGCACATTCTAAGGATTATTTCTGCGTTTGATTTATTAAAATACTAGCCGTCCCCTGCCACGGGTTGCGGTGGCCCAGTCTGTGTGTATGTGTTTTGTGTGTGTAGATGTGTGTATATATTTGTGTATATGTGTATATATGTGTGTTTGTGTTTATATATTTGGTTTTGCACATGCATTGTAATGTTGTTGTTTTTTTACTTTTTAAGTCTCTTCTGCTGTGATTTTCAGTGTTTTTATGAGTGATGGACACTCATTGGACTGTTAGGTGTCTTGTGGCCACACTTGGTGGCAAATCGTCCAGTGGTTTTGAGTTATGCTAATCCCACATATGAACATTACATTTTTATTTATATAGATTCCCTTTCAAACCCAAGTAACGAAGGTAGAGGCATTACTTTTCATTCAACTCTCATATAAACCCACTTTTCTTACATCGTATGCAATCTGATGACCACACAAACAATTTTTTACGTTTCCAAATGCAGCCTGAGCAGTCATTGTATTTCCAGTGGCACTTAGGCACAAGAATCACTCTCAAGAACCAGCTCATTACCAAAGAATGCAGAAAGCAGCCATGTGGAGTGCTGATAACATGGATCCAATGTATGTAACATTGGACTACCTGTCAGAGCAGTCAAATGGGGGCAGTGCCGGATTTAGACAAATGAGTTATGAGACCCCTTCCTTGGGCCCTGAAGGAGATTGGCCCAGTAGGCCTACACTGCCTGATTTGTGGCACACTCCCATAGACTATCAGTTTGATAATTGTATCTGAAATCACTCCAAAAAAAAAAGAATGCCTTCAAATTTAGAATTGTATCACATAAGCAAAATCTGTTGTAAAAATTCTGTTTTGGCAGGATGCCCCCCCCCTCCCCCGACCAATGGGGCTCTGTGCTTAAGCACAGTGGTAAATCTGGCACAGAGTGGGGGGCAGTGAGCACATTACAATGGCTACATGTAGTGTAGACTACTTTAAATTTCTTTTACTGGCATGGTTCTTTTCATGTGAATGGTGCCATGTGACTATTTACTGGGAACGAATCCCAAGTAATATTCAAACCATTTGAATTGGGTGTGGAATAGGCACTCCATGGGAGCAATTTCCATGTCTGAGTAGAGAGGGAGTGCTTATGAAAGCAAGAGGTGTTGCGTGTGATGCTCTTTCCCATGTGAGTCATCTTGCATGTCAACTTCATCTCAAGAAAGGTTGCAAGCGCTGAGATTGTGCAGCAGATGAGATCCATGGTGTTTATACCACCACAATCTATTGAACAAGGGCAACTTATGGTTATGCCATGGGTGATCACTCACGGCCAAGTACGATTGTCTTCCAGAGGTAGAGACTTAGTGGTGACTCCGAAAACCAATTCTGCACCCACAAGGTCTTTCAAATTGAGGGCATAGAACTGGGGAAAAATTAAAGAGGCATCATATCCATAAGCCTTGTCTCTAAATCTAAGCCCCACACTCCCGACTAAACAGAACAAGCAGCAGACTTCCAGATGTTACTGTATCACTATCTCCACCAGCTAGCCGTGATGTCTAATGATGAGGAATACAGGAGTTGTAGTCCAGCCTCCGTAGAGTCACATAAAAAGATTGGGTCTGCAGGCCTTGTGTGTGACATCTGTGCTCTCCATGTTGCCATTTGACACAACATTCACAGCCAGGGCAGGCGACATTGAGCCGTCTTGGCCCCGAAATGCTGGTGCCAAAATATAGAAAAAAGCAAATCCTAATATTCTATAGCATTGGCTCATTGAGATACATTTGGGACAGATTGGGGTAAATTGGAGTGCCCTGAGGTAAATTGGGGCGCACTAAAATACATTGGGGCACACTGAAGTACAGTGGGATGCACTGAAGTACATTCAAGTACTTGAGATACATTGGGGTGCATTGAAGTACATTGAGGTGTATCGGAGGGCATTGGGGGGTGCATCGGAGTACAGTAAGGTGCATTAAAAGACATTTGAGGGTGCATTGGAGGGCATAGGGGTGCACTGGAGTACATTGGGGGTGCATCAGAGTACAGTAGGATGCATCAGAGGACATTTGAAGTTCACTGAGATACATTGGGGGTGCATTGGGGCGCACTAGAGGACATTGGGGGCATCACAGTAGGATGCATCAGAGGACATTGGGAGTGTATCGGAGGACATTAGGGGTGCATTGGAGTACAGTAGGGTGCATTATTTATTTATTTATTTATTTACTTCATTTATATACCGCTTTTCTCAGCCCTCAGGCGACTCAAAGGGGTTAAAACAGCAAAATAACAGCATTGGAGGACTAGGGGTGGCTTGGAGGGCATTGGGGTGCACTGGAGTACATTGGGGTGCATCAGAGTACAGTAGGGTGCATCGGAGCGCATTGGGGGTGCATTGGAAGTCATTGGGGGTGCATCAGAGTACAGTAGGGTGCATCAGAGGACATTGGGGATGCATTGGAGACATTGGAGGTGCATTGGAGGACATTGGGGGTGCATCAGAAGACATTGGGGGTGCATTGAAGTACAGTAGGGTGCATTGGAGGATCTTGAGGGTGCCTTGGAGGGCATTGGGGGTGCATCAGAGTATGGTAGGTTGCAGTGGAGGACACTGGGGTGCATTGAGGTGCACTGGAGGACATTGGGGTGCATCAGAGTACAGTAGGATGCATCAGAGGACATTGGGGTGCATCGGAGGACATTGGGGTGCGCTGGAGTACATTGGGAGTGCATCAGAAGACATTGGGGGTGCATCGGAGGACATTGGGGGTGCATTGGAGGATATTCAGGGTGCCTTGGAGGGCATTGGGGGTGCATCAGAGTACAGTAGGGTGCATTGGAGGACATTGGGGTGCACTGTAGAACATTGGGGGTGCATCAGAGTATAGTAGGATGCATCAGATGACATCAGGGGTGCATTGGAGGACATTGGGGGTGCATTGGAGGACATTGGGGTGCATTGGAGGGCACTGGAGTACATTGGGGGTGCATCAGAGTACAGTAAGATGCATCAGAGGACATTGGGGTGCATTGAAGTACAGTAGGGTGCATTGGAGGATCTTGAGGGTGCCTTGGAGGGCATTGAAGATGCATCAGAGTACAGTAGGGTACATTGGAAGGACATTGGGGGTGCATTGGAGGGGGTTGGGGTGCACTGGAGTACATTGGGGTGCATCAGAGTACAGTAGGATGCATTGGAGGGCATTGGGGGTGCATTGGAAGTCATTGGGGGTGCATCAGAGTACAGTTGGGTGCATCAGAGGACATTGGGGTGCATTGAAGTACAGTAGGGTGCATTGGAGGATCTTGAGGGTGCCTTGGAGGGCATTGAAGATGCATCAGAGTACAGTAGGGTGCATTGGAGGACATTGGGATGCATTGGAGGGCATTGGGGTACACTGGAGTACATTGGGGGGTGCATCAGAATACAATAGGATGCATCGGAGGGCATTGGAGTTCACTGGAATATATTGAGGAGCACTGGAGTCCATTGGGGTGCACTAAAGTACATTTGAGTACACTGAAGTTCATTGAGAGGCATTAGCAAGGAGAGAGATGTCGCTTTCCAAACAAGTCAAGCTTTCTAGACTTTGCGAAGTCAAGCCCCACTTTAGGAGGCTTTCTTTCAGGCAAGGCTTCCTCAGAGGAAGCCCCTCTTTATCCATAGGCTTCCTTTTTTTTGCCCCAGCAGCAGCAGCAGCAGGAGGAGCAGCAGCTGGGTCTTGGCAGGCTCGCCAAGCAGGAGGGAGGGAGGGGGGAGGGAGGGAGGGCGGGCGCGCGCAGGCATCCCAGGAATTCGCTTCCCGTCGAGCCCCTTGGAGGCTGGCTCGCGAGCTCGCGCGCGGGTGTGTTCATGTGTGCGCGCGCTCGCCCCCTTCCCAGGCGGAGGAGGAGGAGGAGGAGATCGGCGAGGGATGATGGCCCAGCCGCTGCTGAGGAAGACCTTCTCCCGCCTGCGGGGCAAGGAGCGCCTCGGGCGCAAGAAGGGGGCGCAGCGCAAGGAGCCAGGTAGCCCTCGGAGGGAGGCGGGGAGGGAGGCAGAATGGAGGAATGGGGTGGTACAGCGAAGAGGGGGCTCCCTCCCTTCCCTCCCTCCCTCCTTTCCCGGGACATTCCCCTGCAGGCAACCTAGCCTGGCTCGAGGATTCCTTGAAGCAGATCCATGGGGTTGGGAGGCCAGGCAACTCAGTCCCCCAGCATCCCCACAGAGGATCCAGCCATGGGGAAGGCCCTTAGACACTTTGATTTCACTTGCAAACTTTGTTTTAACTTCCTGTAAAGTGCCATGAACCCAATGCTAATCAAGCCATCAATGGATGGCTGCCTGGAGGAACCTTCCTACTGTTATACTGCAGCTCCCATCACCCAGATCCTTGGGGATGATGGGAGCCAGAGTCCATCGACTCATAGAATCATAGAGTTGGAAGAGACCACACAGGCCATCCAGTCCAACCCTCTATCATGCTGGAAAAGCACAAAGTATCCCTGACATATGGCCATCCAGCCTCCAATTAAAAGGGAGTTTCTCAACTTGGGGGTCAGGACCCCTGGAGGGGTCGTGAGTGGGTGTCAGAGGGGTCACCAAAGATAATCAGAAAGCCCAGTACTTTCTGTCGGTCATGGGGCTTCTGTGTGGGAAGTTTGGCCCAATTCTCTCCTTGGTGGGGTTCAGTAGTCCTTGATTGTAGGTGAACTATAAATCCCAGCAACTACAACTCCCAAATAGAATCATAGAGTTGGAAGGGACCTCATGGGCCATCCAGTCCAACCCCATTCTGCTAAGAAGCAGGAAAATCACATTCAAAGCACCCCCGAYAGACAGCCATSCAGCCTCTGTTTAAAAGAAAGAGCCTCCACCACACTCCAGGGCAGAGAGTTCCACTGCTGAACAGCTCTCACAGTCAGGAAGTTCTTCCTCATGTTCAGAYCATAGAATCATAGAATCCTAGAGTTGGAAGAGACCTCATGGGCCATCCAGTCCAACCCCATTCTGCCAAGAAGCAGGAAAATCGCATTCAAAGCACTCCCGACAGATGGCCATCCAGCCTCTGTTTAAAAGAAAGAGCCTCCACCACACTCCAGGGCAGAGAGTTCCACTGCTGAACAGCTCTCACAGTCAGGAAGTTCTTTCTCATGTTCAGATCATAGAATCATAGAATCCTAGAGTTGGAAGAGAACTCATGGGCCATCCAGTCCTACCCTCTGTCATGCTGAAAAAGCACGACATATGGCCATCCAGCCTCCATTTAGAACAGGGTTTCTCAACCTGGGGGTCGGGACCCCAGGAGGGGTCGCGAGTGGGTGTCAGAGGGGTCACCAAAGATCATCAGAAAACACAGTATTTTCTGTCCATCATGGGGCTTCTGTGTGGGAAGTTTGGCCCAATTCTCTCATTGGTGGGGTTCAGAATAGTCCTTGATTGTAGGTGAACTATAAATTATTATTATTATTATTATTATTATTAT